TCAAACGTTATGCAATTGATCATAAACTTAATGATTTCTCGAATTGCATTCGAGAGGACCGCGACGTACTCGTCATCGAGCAGATGTCCGTCGAGGGCTATGCGTTTGGGCCACTTGTAGGATGGACGTACCTTGGCCATGAAGGCGTTCCAATCATCACCCTCAAACACCGAGAAAGTAATCCCATTGCGATGCATTGCCTGCTCCAGTAACCTGTATGCTTCCTTTCGGTCTGCCTCGGACATGAAGGCGCACCAGCGAGGCGGCGAAGAGGAGATGGTCGACTACGCAGTTCATTTGATAAGCAAGAGCGGGATTCCAACATCATCATCGATGTCCATGGAACATATAGCTAGCATGACACGTCCAGCGGACAGCAATCCGAATCTCTTCTAGGAGCGGGGCACTCCTTTTGCTTTGCGTGTCGAGTAAATCCATGCGCTCACTAAACGAAACATTGCCGCAATGCTTGCACTCGGCTTGATCACATTTGAGGTCGTCAGATTTGGAAATTCGATTAAATTCACTGGCCAAAGGATGTGATGGACGACCGCGCTTCGAAGACATTGTGAAAGCAGCAAAGGAAGTCGACAACACGGAGTTTGGGATTGCGCTCAGTTGCTCAAACAGCGCTTAGCCTCGCCGGCTTGCGGTGTTTAATAAAAAGAATAAAACAAAAGAACATTAAAAATGCCTCAAAATTGAAGGTCTATTTTAAAATGCATATTTTAAAATAATTTAATATTTGATGCACCACTAGTTGGAAGGCTAACCCAATACATCTCTGTGCAATGACGAACTAGTGTCCATGATTTGCACCTTGAACAATCTCGTTGCACGCCTGAAAATGTCGCACCTGATCATTCTTGCCTCCACATAACTCTGGATAGTCATAATTAACACATCCGACAAAGTCACAACAAATGCCACATAGGTGTGACTTTGATGTGACTCACGCCTATCAAGTCACGCAACGACGTTTGACGCAAAGATTAACACGAAAGCCGGGGTAGTAATGTTAGAAGAACTATAAACTCAATCCCACTAATAGTTATAACCAGGACTCTGTACATTAGACATATGCCTATTCGTGCCTAATATAAATATATTAGGCACATAGACGAAATAAAATTAGGCACGATTAGGCATCATTGTTTACATACAATATGAGAGTCAGAAAAACCTTCTTACTGATTCTATCAAATTGAAACTAAGTTTACAAATGAATGATACAGTTTCAGCAAGTTCTGAAGCATGAACTTGCTCTCTGAAAAACATAATATTTAAGTAATATTCCTTCTTACTCATTTTGTCAAATTGAAACTAAGTTCACAAATGAATGATACAGTTTCAGCAAGTTCTGAAGCATGAACTTGCTCTCTGAAAAACATAATATTTCAGTGATATTCTTCTTACTCATTCTATCACATTGAAACTAAGTTTACAAATGAATGATACGAATGATACAGTTTCAGCAAGTTCTGAAGCATGAACTTGCTCTCTGAAAAACATAATATTTAAGTAATATTCCTTCTTACTCATTTTGTCAAATTGAAACTAAGTTCACAAATGAATGATACAATTTCAGCAAGTTCTGAAGCATGAACTTGCTCTCTGAAAAATATAATATTTCAGTGATATTCTTCTTACTCATTCTATCACATTGAAACTAAGTTTACAAATGAATGATACGAATGATACAGTTTCAGCAAGTTCTAAAGCATGAACTTGCTATCTGAAAAACATAATATTTCAGTGATATTCATAAAAAAGAATATCACTGAAATCTTATATATAGATAATATAACTCCCTCTTAAGGATCCTTGAAAATATCCGAAAGGACATTCACGCCACACTCGACACGAAATCATCTCTCAACCTACAAAAGAGTGTTAAGTGGGTGCTTTAACTAGGCTCGGGCAGAGACATCTATTGTGTTAGGCTCACGTGATACCCCACAACACCATAGAACGGGATCCGGAAGTCTCAAAGTCTGAAAATATGCACATAGCTGTAAGGTAATATAAAGAAGCCTACAGAGTGTAGTGCTAAGAACAAGGAGAGGAGTAAATCTCCTACTAGAGTGTGATACAGTGCTTAAATGACTTCAGTGTTGCGAGATCAAATCCAAACTCATAAAGAAATAAAGTCGATAACATTACGAGGACAAGTGAAGTCAGAGTACGAATGTAATTTAAAATAAGGTGTAGGATTGTACTTCAGACGAAAAGTTCCCACTAGGTAGTGATGATTCCCACTATATGCATGTGCTAACTCCCCGCCTGTTGGATCTGCCAAGCCTCCTCTACTGTTGGATTCCCGCTGTATAGAACTCTGCTCTTTCTGAAACGTCAAAAAAGTTTTTGTACATCAGTACAATGAAGAAGGAAAACATTGTATTTTGACATCAAGAAGAGCGTCACGACGATTTATCAGAAATTGAGAAATCTGTGCGTGTATAGTCTGTACACAAAGTTTTCTACACCTCAGTTAACGCGCACTTCAAACGGAGCATGCGAGCGACGCGATTCCTCTTCTTTCTTGCGTTGAATGTTTGAGATAATTTTCTTTCCTCCCTTGAATGTTTGCGAAATTCTTCTGAAGATTAGGGATTCGACACCTGTGATATTTGGGATATTAGGCATCTATTTTTAGAATGCCTAATGTACAGAGTCCTGGTTATAACCTTCAACCAATCCTCCCTTACAATATACTAGAGTGAGGAGAGATTAGCCCAAAATGGAGCATAACTACTACATCTCTTAAAAAACTTGATGAATACAATTTCATATTGATATATGTAAACAGCAAAAAAATTGATAAATACACATATCACATAGAAAATTTAATATAAAAATATTTATTTTCATAATATCAATCAAAAATGTAAAATTTATAAAAATTTATTCAATATCTTTACGAAACATACTATTATATATATTTATTTTCAATATATGTATTAAATAATGTATAAATTCAATATCATAACTTAAAATTTATTATATAGAATTAATATACTTCATCAGATTACTTAACAATTGAAATATGTTTGAAAATAATTCAAAAATATTTTACAATCTGACATATTTTGATGATATTAAATATCATCAAAATATGTAATTTATTCCATCATAATGCAATATTGTTAAGTATTACAAAATCATATTTTCTTCATATCAATATATGAAATGGATATGAACAATTATGATGCTTTGTTGAAATTGCTGAAAGAAATGTAGGACAATTTAAAAAAAATATAAGTCATTGATAAATAAAAAAATAACAAATATGGATATTTTTAAATTCACTTAAAGTAGATAATCTATTTTGATATTTTTATCTTTCAATACAACAAAATTATAAATATTTATACATTACTTTTTACAACTTTTTACCATGTAAAGCTTTGTTAAAAATTATCAATTTTTATGATATTTATTTTTCATTGTTCATTATGATTTTATAACAATTTTATTACAATTATATATATATATATATATATTGATCAGAACACATATAGTTTTGTATATATGACATAAATCTTGATTGTTTCAAAATCATATCAATTTTAAATCATGAATGTATAAAATTATGAATGGGATAAATTTGCAATCAATTTCTATATGGTACCCAAAAAATGAATATATCAAAATTAAATGAAATAATAATTTCTTAGAAATATCAAAATTTTTTTAAAAGAATTCTTGATACGAATTATTCTTAAAATAAATTTTTTTCTATCCTAGAAAATTTTTCTTGGAATTTTTTTATAAAAATGATCATGTTTATTTTCAAGAAACTTTACAGATAATAAGATAAATATTATGTCAAGAAGTAAACCATAAGAAGATTCATATAAATATATCTTTTAATATAAATTTAATTTTTTTCATTTAATTTGATAATCCTTCTTTAATATTTTAATTTAAAAATTAAAAAATTATTTTAAAATTATGGTTTAATTTTTATTGATAAATATATAATTTTGATAAAAATCTATCGTAGTTTGATTAATTATATTTCCTTTTTATATAATTAACTAGTTCATAATACATTGAGTGATAAAATATTCATGTGAATCGAATAGAAAAAAAATCAAATGATGCATTGTTAGAATTTTACTTAATTTGATGTGGTTAATTATTTGGTCATCTATAGTTAATTCAATCATTCAATTCAATTTAGTAATTCAATTCAATTCTAGAGTAAAGTTTTATTGTTGTTCAATACATGAATCACATATATCTTTAATCTTGTATGTTTTAATATATGTTTGTGTCATTTATATCAAAACTCTACTTATAAGCATCAAATTTTATTTCCTTTAAATATAGAAGAAATAATTTAATAATTTGATTATTTTTTGATTTATATACATTATATTTATCTTATATGATCGAAATTCGATGTTTTTAACTTTATAAATACTTGAAATATGATATTGATGTGTAAATATACCTAAATTTATCATTAAATAATTAATTTTAAATATTATCAAAATTTATTCAAATCAATCAAATCATCATTTACAAATTGTAATCATCATTTAACCAATATGTTGATATCTTTTATTCTTCATATGATAAATATGATTTATCATTTGAAAGACACAATATATGAAATATTTGTATAGACCTTTACAATTTTTCAGTTAAAGTAGAAAGAAACGATTTATAATAATTCTTTTTAATGAATAGATAAAACTGGTTTCTAATTTTAGTTTTAAATATAAAATTTTAGATAAAAATCACATTTCTTTTAATTTTTAAATGTAATAAGTAAATTTTGATCGGATTTGAATATATCGAACATGATATTGAATAAATATTGTATGATTTCATCCTTGGAAAAATATTTTTCTACTTTTAGCACTTTCTACTCTGAGCGAGTGCTGATACTCCAGGAAGCTTCTGTTACCGGAATGACGTGCTGATGTAGGACTTGATCATCCAGTAGGTGCAGGGGAAAACGTTAAGTGATAATCGAAAGCTGGTGCTGTGTAGCTTGTACAGATGGCACGGGGTTGTACTTTCCCAGGCACACATCGTCGTTCTGGTTTTCTAAATCGCTCAGCGAAAGAAGAGGACAGCAATTGCCCACGAGCTGAGCTCCTGCCCAACACTGTATTGCTGCGCTCCCGACTATCTGCAGATTCTTCGGCACTGGCAACGAACGCAACGAACTAGAGAGAGGAGCAGATTCGTTGTGCGGCTATGGCGACTCTGCAGTTTGCATGCTGCAGACCGGCTCTTAAAATTGTGGGATTGTCCGGTGAATTGGTTAGTTCTAGCTCTAGTTGTAGCTCCGGTCTAGGTCATCAGGGAACATCGCGATGTTTTGATTTGCGAAGAGTTCATGGGAAGAGTGTATGCCGGCGACGGAGATGTGGAGTGTCGATCCGTGCTCGCGGGGGTCGAAAACCAGGTCAGTTTCGGAATTCGTTCCCAGCGACAGAGCCAAGGATTGCGTCGTATTTCTATGTTCGTGTGTAAATTCTGCTTGCGAGAGTCGGGAAGACACAAACCTTGGACTTTGGGGAATTGATGAACGGAAATATTGCCCTTATAAACATTCTGTCGCCTCCACCGGTCATATATTTTTGTGAATTTGAGTGGTGAGGGGAACCTTTATGAGTAGGGTTTTATGAATTGGATTCTCAGCACGAGGATATGTTTGAATTCATAGGTTCCATCTTCCCAGCAGGCAGGTAGCACTTTTCTCATTTCTTAGCTGAACTTTGAAATTTTGTTTTTGCTTTCTAAATTTTAAATTTTAGTCCTTTCGGTCACATGAATTAAATGGAAATTTCGATATGATCTTGTATTGTGGAAAATGTGAAGTCAAAGTCCAAGATACATAATTTTCAATTTGTTTATCCCTGTTTTTTCTACGTTGAAAGTGTCAGGATAGTTACTAAGGCAGCCTAGGGTTGGGCTATGAATTAAATTCTTTTGCTTTCAAGTTATCGAGTATGTTCTCTGCTTTTCCTTAGGTTGATCAGGGTTCAAGTCCAGCCAATATACGTAATAGTGGAATCGTTGTTTTTAGTTCGGTTACTGGACACCAAGGTCTGGTTGTAACCTACCAAGTTGCTAGAGTTGGCAGCTGCTTCATAAAGACCTAGTAATGGCGGTAAGTAGCTGGTTCAGTTGGCTAGATGGTATTTCTTTCGTGAATTTGGGTCTTCACTATTTTCAAAAGTCTTCTTGCTAGCTTAGATCGATTCTGGGCTGGTTGCAGGTTGAGAAACAGAAACATGGACTTATTACTCCTATTATCAATTGCAATGTGAATCACAGGAGAAAGCGAAAGTAAGCAAGTGCTGGATGCCTTTTTCTTGGGAAAAGCCTTAGCTGAGACAATAAATGAGCGTGTGGGATCTGCCATCGGAGAATTTTTGAGTGATGTGGGAAGGCAACAAGCAGAACAACAGAAGAAAATTCGAGAGTTTCAGGTATATTCTCGTTCTGGTGATTATACTCTTATGTGGAGGCCTAGATCCAGTGCATTTTTTGGTCTCTTTTTTTTCCCTGTTCCTTTTATCCTACCGCACATCATCTTCCCCGTAATTTGTCACTGGCACGGCCCTCTAGGTCGCGCGGTCACCGTTTTTCAGGGTGTGATCGAGGCCAGTGTCTGGAAAGTGCACCTCTCATCCTCCAGGTTTTGTCAGTTGTCTTGACTCTGAATATTCTTGGGTCAACTTCGGAGTCGGCTATGAGTGTCCCCCAGTTTTGAGATTCTCATTCGATTCTACGATGTGGGTGCCTAGTGCATGCTTTCTATATTTCCCTTTGTCGCCTTTCATATTCTTTTGGCCTGCCGAAAGTGCCGACTGGCTTGTTCATACACTTGCGACTATGATCTGCTTACAATCTGCTTCGAATTTTATTTTATATACCTGAGTTCGTTTGACTGGGTTTATGAGCTGGACGCCGGTTGGGAACTGAAGAGGAGAGGCAGTAAGATTGTTCTCAACTTGTGGGTTGTACTCAATGTTAAGAGAGGTGATCTGATCGGTCAAAATTCTGCAGGACGAGGTTCAGGAGAGGGCTAAAGCAGCCGCTGCCAAAGCAGCACAGAAAGCAATGGCGGCCGAACAGTCCAAGTCCATATCATCCACTTCGACCGTCTCGCAACCACCTCCATCAACATCATCACTCTCCGATCCATCAGATGCACCTACCACTTCGGCTGCCCCTCCACCGGACTACATTCCTACTATGGACGAAGATGGGGTTATCACAATAGATGAATAGTTGATGTCGTCTAGAAAGTGAGTTCTTAACCAACGTAGACAGTATTCTTGTAATTTTTATACGCACATACATTGTCACCTCATTGAATTATCTGTATCAGGGAATCTTATACCCGAGGTGTCGTTGAACCTTTCCAGGCTCGTGTACCTACAGTTCGATTCGACTCTTTACTTCCGCCTGGGCAATAAAGACTCATGACGGGGTGTACACTACATTTCATGACCATTGTGATCACTTTGATATCTTCTCAAATTTCTTATACTCGCAGGGGTATTCTTTTGCCCTGAAGTGGTAGCATGTCTTTCTTATGCACTTACGGTTGGTATCCTTTAACGTATGTCTCGGTCGGTTCAGATGGTTTTTTTCCGCAAAAGCGACTACTCGTGTAGGCATACAAGGGTAGGCTTGCCTTACTGATCACTATGCGTAAATATTGCATGGAACTTGTAAATCCCTCTCATCAAACATCGCCAGGACGTCGACAGCATGATGTACTCAGAATAGGGGAGTAATACTCTCACCCTTTTCAGATAGATATAAATTCAGAGATATTGGACGTTTATTCTGTTTCAAGGTAATAGCATGTCTTTTGTAGATGAACACGAGGCCCACCGAATGGAACCGATATGATTCCAGTAAAAAATTGCCTTTACACAAGGTTCAAAGAGAAACGGGAATTTTGCGATGATAGAAAAGAGTACAACCTTCGGTTGATCTGGAGTTTCTAGTGTCAACAAAGAAGTGGAAGAGCGCTTACATACATCGTGGCTTACATCGAACCCAAAGAAAAAGAAGCAACCGTTAAGATGACGTAGGGTCAAACGGCGTGTGACAGATAACAAGCTTGTATATGTAAAGTAGCCACCGTAAGCGATGACAAGCGGGTGGCTTTGGGCCGAATACATTGACCTGAAATATGGTGCACCTGGGACCAAACTGGAATATAACAATCGTGGGAAGTTGGAAATTGCCATGGTGCCCGGGCAATTGAATTATAACCAATTTAATTGACCACAAATTTCTCTTTGTCTTGTTTTAAAAAACGTCAGCGCCGAGTTCAAGGACCACGAGCAGCTGCCGCTGAGGTACAAGCGTTAGAACAATGACTTTCGTCATAAGCCTTCCGACATGTAGACATTATGGAGAGTAGGCAGTATGTCACGTTCATGGTTCGATTCTTCGTTACAAAAGTAGAAATCTACCTTTAACTTTGTCTTAAACTTTGTCTTACTTCGTCGGGAGATAATGAGCAAGGGCAAACTTGAAGTCCCGATTATTCAGAGGATTTGGTACTCAGAGGAGCTGATCTTACCACGAGCTAAAGGAGCAACGTAGCTACTACGAGAGAACCAGCCCCGGGCGTCGATGGAAATCTCCTTACCCAGTTCGCAATTTTCCACGGAGCCCAGTTCATCGGTCTTAATTCCGAGGGCCTCCATCCGAACGATCATGCGCTACCCATGCTTTGCTTCTACGGCTAGAATATGGTATGATATATTTTTTGAAGAACAATGAGAAGCAGGCGTGCTGGCATGCATTCAAGGCTTGCTACCTTGCATACACTGTCCGGCCGTCCATCGCACCGACGCCAAGAACTCGTTGCTCAGCTTTGGTGACACTATTTATGGCACGACCCATGTAAATCCACATCTTCTCGAAGCTTATGTAGCCTTTGGCTTTGACAATGATCAAATTCGACGAGGTCCTACTGTTGCTATCGTAAGACCAGGGGTCCAGTTTGAAGCGAATGAGCGAGTCACCGTCTTGCGTTTGCAAACCTGGATTCCAAATCTCCACCGCACCCTGACCTGGCAGCCGCACGTGCCGTAGAATTATGTCCCCCGTCCTGGGGCTGAAGTTTATATCTACTCGTCCCGGGGTGCGAGGGATTCGGTTATCCTTCCTGCGATCGACCGGAAGATTCTTGTCTCTCCTCATTGCTGACACAATGAGCAGCCCACATTTGGGTCTATGATGCAGCAACCGATCCCCTGGCAGCCTGATGCGCAGGTACGATTGATGAGCCCGATCGCGAGGTTGAAGACCTTCGCCATGAGGTGTCCCGTGATTTCCTACTTGATTCTGTCCGAAATCATCATCGGGTGGAGGAGGAGGAGGAGGAGCCGCAGCTGGAAGCAGAGGTACAGGCGGATGGTGAGCGAAGAATTGTGGAAACGGGCTGTAATGGGAATGGCTGTTTTGGGGCACATGTTGTGGATCGTACATTGGGTCGGTCTCGTCATCGTTGCTAGGTTCACGTCGTAGAGGAGGGGGATAGTCGTCGATGTAATCGTCGGGGATGAGCTGGGCGTCGATGTCATCGTCGTCACCGGGGTGAAGCGGGTCCGATGAGGACCCATCTTCATCTCCATCGTCTCCATCGTCTCCATCATCCGGATCCGGATCTGGCCCAGGAGCAGACGCACCCGTCCACCGGAAGCCCGACGAAGCATGATGAGCTCCGGCACGAGCTCCAGACGAGTCGACCTCGACCATCCGGGTGTGATCCACGGGCTCCTCATTGGAGTTTCTCGAATGGGCTGCGTAGCCCTGGGCTTCGTAGGGCCGATATCGACGAGCGTTGTTCAAATCTCTCTGAGCTGTGCTCCGGGGATTCCTACGCTGCCCGCTTCCGGCGGCTGCAAAATCGTCGTTGTAGGGATACTGGGATCCCGAGTCCTCGTCGCGCGAGGTCGAGTCACGATCGCCCCTCGGGGAAGGTTGAATCGAAGTCTGAGTCCCAGCCGACGATGCGGAGTGAGTTTGCGTCTCCGTGTGGTGCTGCGGTCGGCCGTGGCTCGCGCCATTCGACGGACCCGAGCCGCCACCGCCGTCGTCGTCGCGACGATGCCTGGGTCCGTGAGAAGCAGCAGCAGCAGCAGAATGTGCGTCCGACCGCGCCGAGGGTGCTTGTGGAAGCCTCGGACGCTCGGCAGGCGCACCGTCGTCGGCCTCTCGGTCTCCAGGTCTGACCGCTGCGTGCGCGAGCCCGAGGAGATCGTTTTGTGACATCTTCCGATTCTGTCTGGCGTTGGGCGGGGGGCTTGCGATTTGGCGGTGGAGACCGCTCGCGTCTGAGTTGAGGGCACGATGAGATTTGGCGTAACTGCTACCGACGAGGTCTCTCTGGGACAATTTCCGTTCTCGCCTGAACTTCGGCTCGGAATCTTGAGCGCCTGCAGGCGCGGAGGGGTGAGCTTGGGTGCCCATGTAGTGCGCGGGATTGATGTGCAGAGCCGCTGCAATGCTCGTTCCTATGAGGTCTTTCTCAGAAAGCCTCCTCTCGCTCCTCAATTGCGGCTGCGGGGCATCGCGCGAAGCTCTTCGAGAAGGAGGAGGAGGTTCATGACGATCGGCGGCGTCTCTCGCCGACGCCGCTGCTTCGAGTTCTCGTTCGCTGTTGGAGTGGAGCACCGAGGCTCCTGAGCTGCGAATTGCCCCATCGGCGTCGGCGGCCGGGTTCTGAGCATAAGGTCCGGAGAACGAAATGCCCGCCTCCCTCGCGGACGCCGCGGCCACGAGCTCTCTCTCCGTGTTCGAATGAATTCCTCCTCCGTGCGCAGATTGCGACGGCCGTGCTGCAGCATTCTGCCCGTAAGGCCCCGAAATCGGCAGATGCGCATGCACCGCTGCCGCCGCGGCCACGAGCTCCCGCTCCGTGTTGGAGTGCAGCACTCCTCCTCGCGCTGACGATCGCTCCTCCTCCCGGTCCACCGACGCCCGGGGGCCATAACGGCCCGCCTCAGCAGCTGCCGCCGCTGCTTCGAGTTCTCTCTCGGTGTTCGAATGGAGGCCTCCTCGTCCTCCGTGCGCGCTTGCGCTGCCTGCCTGCCCCGATCGAGCCAACGAACCTCCGCTCGCACCCCTGGCGGCAGCCGCCGCCTCGAGTTCCCTTTCCGTGTTGGAGTGCAGGCCTTCCTGTCCGTACGGCGCCGGAGCGGGAGCGGGAGCGTGATCGTTGGGACGCCGCGCTCCAGCGGCTCGGTCGGCTGCTGCTGCGGCCTCTAGTTCCCGTTCCGTGTTCGAGTGAAGCCCATGTCCGTGACCCCTGGACTCGTCGCGACTGAGGGCCGCGAGCACTGTGAACTCGCTCGAGCGCCTCGAGCCTCCTCCTCCCCGGGGGAAGAAGGCCGCGTTGTCGGGATGCTCGGCCTTGCTCCGTCCGCTCACCCTGACGCTCACGGGATGGTCCTTCGACGAGCCGTCCGAGGATTCGACGGAGGAGTCGAAGCATAAGTCGAAGGCGTACTGCCCCCCCACCGCCATCGCTCGCAGATCGCTCTCGCACGCCTGCCGCTTCTCCAGCACGTCTTTGATCTCCATCGCCACCTTCGCCTTCGACCTCTCGAACTCCGTCACCTTCTTCGCGTCGTCACCCTTCTCCTCCACCTCCCCCCCGTCCGCCGTGTCTTCCGAGGCGGAATCGAAAGGATCGTCGCCCGGGCTCCTCGTCCTCCTCCTCTCGGGACTGCGAGGACCTTGAGGACCTTGAGGACCTTGAGGAGGTTGAGGAGGTTGAGGATCCGAACAAGGCTTCGGGCTGGCCATGGGGTCGACGACGAGCGCAGGTTCTTCGTCTGACACGAACTCCATCCGTGCTTCGTCTTTGTGTTCCTGCGTTTGCGTGGCCGTGATCGTCGGCTCCTCGTCTCCTTCGGAATCTGCACTCTCATCTTCGCCGCTCTCGGATCCGATGCTGCGAGTCCGGGGACCATCTTCCATGGCCAATCCGACCGCCAAGGCCACGGAGAGAATATCGACGCATGTCAAAATCTTGTTGTAATTATCGTGCATTTCATTGCAGTGAAGGGTCCGCAGTTCCTTCCTTTCTTGCGGGCCGCCACGAGAGATTCGCGAAACCTCTGTCGACGAGATCGGAAGCTGGGTCCAAGCGCTGCGACGCCCCGCCTCGCCCCGCCGTGGTATCGGGCTCCACGTGGTTCTGGGCAACCACGTTAAGAGAACGGGGACTGCGGTCGGCGAGGCGATGGAGACGATGGCGTTCTGGCTTCGCGCAAGCGAGCACGGATGGACGGATGGCGCAGGAATCTTCAGAGCTCTGAGACGCGTCGAGGCGAACGGTCACGACTGGCCTGGACTGGACTGGACTCGACTCTAGTTAGGCAGCGATTCGGCTCGTCTCGAGCGCTCGCGCAGTTGGAAAGCAGCGTCGTCGGCCGTCCACTCCGTGGCCGGAGACGTATTGCCCGACGACTCGGACGTGTAGTATTCCGGAGTCGGGTTCGAGTAGTTGACGGACTCTCCCGACGCGATCGTCAGAAGCGATTTGCACAGCCCGATGATGGCGTGGATCAGGCTGAGAATCGACAGGAGTATCATCCTTATGGCGTTCTCGAAAATCATCAGAACGTCTCGATGTTGGCCTCTTCACCCGCTGTCGGTCCCCGTGCGTCCCCGCCGATGGATCCAGTCGGTGCAGTGAGCAATTTTCTATCGACTGAGTCGAGAGATCGGATCGAACGTTGTCAGGCTGGTGCCATCCTCTCCGTCGCTCAGTCCTGCGATAAACTTTGGCCACATTCCGCAAGTGCTCGAGGAGTGCAGGAGTGGATTCCGACTAGACAGATAATTACTCATGGGGCTCTTGAAAAAGCTCGAAATTGACTACTCTGAGCAGAATTCCAGCAGAAGTGGCACAGCTGACGAGACCGAGAATACAGACGGCGATGACTTCCCCTGGCGAGTACTCGACAATCCGGTTTTCGCCAACAGACCCGAGCTTTGCCGATCGACTTCTATCCCGGGAGTTTCAAGAATCCTAACGAATGGCGTCTCCAGGAATCGAGCGGAAGCGAAACAGGCTACAGCTGCGGCCAAACTGCCTCCGAAACCTGCGGCCCCCGATGCTGTCAAGCGTTTACAGCGTTCGAGCTTAACGCCGTCGACGTCAACTTCGACTTGCACGACTGCGAGGAGAAAAATACCGGAGAGAAGGTGGAGGTCCAGGTTAAGGGAATCCGAGAGGTTTAGGAACGTGTTCGCACCTCTTTGGAAGTTGCTGTCTCTTCATTAGTCTGCGGTCGACGGCATTTGGACCGAGTCCTTGCCCAAATACACCCACTCTCGGTGATGCCACATGTAGACCCTGGCGGCGTGGAAGTAGTACGGTAGATACTCGTAGCTCTTATGTTTGTAGCGGACCAGATAGTCGCCACATTCCAGAGGCAGCGCCGGGTCGTAGAATTGCAGCATAGGCCTGGCCACCTCCTTCTGATGGTGAACGATCAGGTCCGTCTCTCTGGGTTTGAAGTGCTCGTCCACTCTCCCGGGTTGGGTGCCATTGTACTCTGGCTTTTCTGCATCTTGATCCTGATTTGCAGTTCCTACAGCGGGTTCTGCCTCGGCTGCTTGTGAATCTTGCTTCAGTGATCTGATCAGCTGTAATCCGCATCTAGGCCTTCGAGCCACGTTCCGAAGGCGGCGACCTCCGGCGGTGTGATGGGTGTTCCGGATGCGTTCTAATGCATCTCGTCTAGCTTGCGCTGGGCTCGCTGCTCTACGGTGACTCGAAGTATGCTCCGTCCATATTCGAGCTATTACTCGACCCCGGACTGGATCTGGTCTAGATCTGCCTTCCATGAATTGCCTTATTCACGTGTCGGTCTCGGAGATGTATGAGAGAGTGATTTCTGTGTTGCAGATGGATCCTTCACTGTACTTGACCATATGATTCATGTATCTCCAAGACGATCATACGAGATATCAATGAATGACATCTGTTCTTCATTCCAGTTGCATGTTTGTGCAATTTGGTGTACTTCAGATAGGTTGTTCATGGAATTTATTCTATGCTATGTTCTTTTCGCTGTATTCACCATCGTTTATGGCCTTCGTGGCTTCGTGGCTTCGACATATTCTCCGAACTAATCGGAAGCAAATCTCAAGAGGTGATAAACATCACAACCGTTTAGCGTTTTCTTCATTTATTCGGCTCGTTTTTACTTTCGAAGGGAGTGGATTTATTGGTTACAGCATCCCTGAAAGACTTCAAGGACAGTTTCTACTGTTTAATATAGTAAGCGCCAAAAGGTGCAATCTCAAGAGTCGTGTCTGGGATGGACCGTCAATTAACAACCCTCGCAACGACGTCAACTTTCAAAAGAACTAGACAGGATTGCCCTCAGCGGACGGATCTTCTTGAACTCAGAAAATACTCTCGTTCACTTGACCATGCATTTAAAAATGCTGCGGGCAAAATGTAGAGGAAAACTCAGAAATTTTACATGAGCTTTGAATTCGAGTTCCAAAGGAACCAGATGCATGATGCTAACCGGAAATTGCGAATTTCCGGTTCTGTTCTTTTAAGAAAACGGTGGCCAAGTGGAAAGGGAAAACGGTGAGAAGACGAGAAGATATTATATTACTTTTGAAGTTCTTATCCTTATAATGCTTCCACCCGCCAGTCCTTAATATATTAACATTCAGTTATAACATTTGATCATTTTGTAGCATTGCGACTTGCCACCGCACAATATCTGCTCTCCGAGGAGTCAAACGACTGGCTTCGATTATGGTTTCATGATTTGGCTAGCTTGTCATTGATATTAACAGACATGCCATCATGTCTTTAAGATTTCCAAGTATACGACTAACTATTGTCCTAGAGAAGAGATATTGAGTTGATGTGCCCAAATATCGACAGCTTCCGGACAACATTCACCTCATCAGCTTCGTACTCTGAAAGTGCTCGGTTTAGAATCTTGATATGTATACACAGTGTGATTTTCATTGCACAAAAAGAGACCTTGCTTCAGGATTGTCGCGTTAATTTTATATAAACTACGTGGCAGGATTGCATGTGGTGATTAATGTCGTGTTTGTCTCACTCGACTTTGTTGACTTTATGACTGTGCCGAGGAAATTGTGTTAATTAGAACTGAAATGAAAAAATATGAAAAGATGGTGTTTTGTAGATATGTTCACTGGAAAAATTGGAGATTTTTCTTGTTCCCATCTCTTCCATTCAATTTCCCGTGTTAAACTTTCAATCATGTCAGTGTACAGTTTCTACTGCCCCAGTACCTCCCATGTCAAAAGTAGTCCAAGGGACCGAAGCAAGCTTCAACAGGTTCCTGGACCAGCTATAAACACACCTATTTCACGTCTTTGTACAAAATCTTCCTCGTTGCCCAGCTTTTGGAATCTCTACGCATCATCAGTCCATGTTAATTCCTAGACGAGCTTAAAGGCCTGACCCAAAATACTCCAGTTTCTAAAGTCCGAACGTACAAACCCAACAGGACAGCAACCGTTGAGGTAGAACGAAATTCGAACGATCGACGAGCCGAATGAGATTCCCAGCCACATAATGAGATGGTACCGTCGTACGTCTTCTTGACAAGTAAATCGAGTACGTGCAGCGTCACACGATTCGGCACGACAGTACCTAAGAACTAAACCTCTTGGCACTGAAGTTCCACCAGGTCTGATTCATAGGGATCGATAAAGAAGTAGACGTAACGAGGCTGGAAAAAGCAACTGGATACTATCCAATCACCTGGTTCTCTTTACTTACGCAATCTCGCTGTTGAAATCGGAATCTAGATTTGAAATTGAGACCATCTCGGAATCAAGAGATCTTATTGTGACAGTCGTGCATGGATGGAATACCTCCAAGAAATTGCCTCCGTCCCAGCGTTTCCGAGCCTCGCTGAGAAGCACAATGGCAGCGGGTCAAACGGAGGAGTTGAAAGAAAGTCCGCGGCAGACAGAGTCGTAACTGACAATCTGAGATTACGATCGTGTTGTGCAAGATGAGCATACTACACATTTTTCATACTGTCTGGGCCTGAAAGAGCTGTCGCAAGCAAAAAATCTATCTCCACAAAGATAAATATATCCAGAATGGCTTTGTCTTCCCATTGTCCTCCACCGAAATCCTGTCATCAGAGCACTATCTGTTGCTTGACTATTGCCTGAATATTAGCAGAGCGTGGTTCTGTTTTGCTGCCGAGTCTGATGCTCCGGTTTTCCTGCTGTTATGATCGCTACCAGCAGCGTGTTATCCAGCGTCTGCGCTGAGCTATGAACTCCTGAAGCGCTGGGTGCGTGGTTAGACACTTAAAGTGGCGGGTCCGAATTCGTGGAGGCACTCGTAGATTCTTTGCCCACGTTTTGGATGCGATCGATGGTAGGATGAATGATGTACAGCTGCGGACATGCAATGGCCGAGGTGGATTTGGGCAGATGTGGACTCTCCATATGCGGGACACGACCATCGGCCCCTCGCTCTGTCCAGTACATTCCACGCAAACCCAAATTCATCTGTCCCCATTTTCCGCGACACTTCTGCTCGTACGCTGCCATTTTCGGCTTCACTTTTTTCTTGTTCCCCCTCCCTTCCCACTCGGAGCTATTGATGGTGCAGTCCTTGCGCCTGGCTTTTCATAAGTGTGCAGCAACGGAGTAGGTGGAGGACCTTGACGCATCGCTGTAATGTTTCTGCGTGGACGAGCGATGGTAACACTTCATCTTCTGTAGCACTGACTCATCACGCCAACAATTGATCGCCCTCCTGGAAATCCATACAACACCTACACAGTATTGTTGGAACAGCTCGGTTTCAGAGGCCTTGTAGGTCCTATGTAGAGAACATTCAGAACCAGATGGGCAAGCACAGCTTTTGCAATGGGCGTGTACTTGATTCTCTATGTCAATCCTGTACTCTCTGATTGGTAAATACAGAATCAACCACACGTCTTTTGCAAGGTTGATTCACTATGATGGACGTAGTTGATTAATTTGTCCTTCGACACTGTGGAAATAGTGTCCAGCGAATGTACCTCGATATGTGGCTGGTTATGCAGTACAGCATGCCTGGAATGTCTATCCGAATTCAGTTACTTCTATGATTTCAATGAAATATCTTACCCTGAAGCAAACCTCGGATGTCAGTCACGAGCCGTGAAATCCGATTTTATGAGATAGCTTCTTGTGCATACGCCATGCTTCAGTGCGTGTGGAAACCGCTGTACGATATAGGAAACCCCACAATCTTCATCCATTTAATTATCCAAGAGCAGTGAAGAAACGGAATTGTCATGGAGACAAGTGTACTTGACAATCAGTTCGACTTGTATTCTGGACCATTGCTTGCATCCTTGACGATGACCTCGGCCTTATTAAAGTCTCGTGGAACTGTGTCGAAAATGTGTGAGACCAGACGAAAAGGGTTTGAAAACGAAGGGCCATAGAGCCAAGGAAGAGCATTAATTTCATAACACGGATCATTTGTAAACTCTTGAAACAGTGGCAATAAAATATTCCCTCGACTATCGCGTGTTATATTAGTGTGTATGATAATGTACAACTCAAAACGCCTCTCTACTCTCGGTTGCTCCAAATCTGGGGCACCGACTTTGTTTCAAAATCTAGTCCTGTAAAATACAGACCTCTGCGATTCCCACTTGCCTCACGCTGCAAAGACCCAATCCGTGCCCCGGATGTGCAGATCTCCTGGCGAGAAAAAAGTTTTAAAAAACTAGGCAGTCGACGTAGAGGTACTCCAGCAGATGTCATTTGATCGTAAGAGCAATTTACAAACAGCCCAGCCACTAATGGAGGGTTGAAGTCGAGAAGAAACTTTTGCCGACGACTCCCAAGAGCAGGCCCGACGGAATTCCAGCAGTGAGTCTGTTGAACCTTGTTTCTTGCTGGAGGTCATCGTGGCTCCAGCTTCCTTCTCTTCGGGGCAGAGGTGAGCTCTGCCTCGAAAGCCTCTGGCACTTCAAACAAGTTGAAGTTTATCCACCGTTAATATGGTACAGAACGGAGCAATCTTTCTATCATGGACAGTCTGTCTGCTCATGAACAAGTAGCACTCCTTACGATGCTCGAGAGTTGAAAGATGGGCCCTCGAGCTTCCCAGACTACCTACAATCTGGTATCTCCAGCCACACCTCCATCAAATCCCGTGCGTGCTTGAGATCTCTAGTAACTCTTTCTGGACGCTCGTGCAAAATGTCTGAAGCAGCAACTTCTGTGTAGTGCGATGCATGCAAGTGTCTAAAAGAGAACAGGAGGTTTCGTCCCTCGCTGCCACTCGATTAAGTTAATCAAGCCTCAAAACTGCATGCTTCCTTCTCTGGCGGGGAACCAGGCCGGATAGTCTTATCACGGACTTCTCGACTAGTTCCTCATTCTGGACGCGAGGAGCTCTGGCTTTCTTCCGACCGGGAGTTGGTTCTCAAATGAAGAAGTTTCGGAAAACTCTCTAAATGGACTTTGTGGAGGTGAGTCTGTGTCCGGATTTTGCCTGGAGGAGCGACTGCTGTCGATCGTCTTGATCGACATCTATCTCACAACTGACATCCGAGGACTGCTTTTGCAAGCGCAGAGGTGCAGTCTCGTCCTCTGTTTTCTCAGGCCTCGGTAGGTGAGACGGGAAGCTATTGTCAGGACAGTGCTCTATGTCTCTGTCATGGGGTCCGAATCTGGACTTCACGTGCTCGAAAGCTTTGAACACAGAAGAGTGGCCGTTACCTTCTGGACTGGGACTGGGACTAGAACCGGGGCCAAGAGGACTCTTGGGCAGACTACCTCTCCCCTTCACCATCAGGGCATCCGCCTTCTCTCCACTCATCCGCTTCCTTCTATTCTCCATCGCCTTGTGATGCCATCCTTGCAGAGCCTTCTCTATCGGCGGCTTGAACATAGCTTTTTTGTATGTTGTGCCCATCTGAAATCATCATCCAACGTTGTGCCCACGAGTTATTGCAGTCCCTTGGATGACCATGACAGCGTTAGCATATCCGAATAACAAAGAATGAAATTTTTCTCCTGAAAGTCGTCACAGTACCTGAGTTACAAGAGCATACAGCGGTAAAGTCGCGTAACTGCACAGGACTTGCGAGAAGAACCTGCACAAAAAACATGCGGTTCTTTCCATTAGTTTGCAGCATGATTTATTGCCTTTGCGCGAAAAGAAGCTGGCATAAAGGCCACTTTTTCTGCACCATTAAATCCTTGATAATTCAAGAGGATTCACTGCTGTATCCAGTGCAACAATATTCTAGGAAGTTCGAGATCTAAAGTGACAGAGGTAGCAGAACTCACCCAAGAACGACTCGGGCGTAAACGAACGATCTATTTTCCAGGAAGCATGAATCGATTCCATAAGTTGCCTGCAAAGACACAAGACATTGACTCATCTGATATTACCATCGGGTTCAAAGGTAGATATGACTGACATCTCACTTACTAGCGTGTCCGAGCTTCAAGCTGTGTAAAGAACAGAAGAAATTCTGAAGTCATGCTGTCGACATCCCAAATTTTCATCCCTTTCTACACGAATGGCGTCGACCTGTTCATCGAAATTTCACTCAAGGCACGTTGGTTGAGAGAAGGTTCGGTAGATACTCACCCACAACCAGAAGAAGTAGGCGAGCTCAAAGGAATTCTGGAGCACAACACCAGGAAAATATCGTTAGGCTAGCAGCCTGAATTCGAACCATGACTAAGACCATAAACATCAACCGTAGAAAACACAACTTTGGGAGGGAACCGGATACTGAAACCACCTAGACGACCACACTTTTCCTTGTATTTCCCAGATGATTGGCCCTGGGAATTTAGATCGGAACCTTCAGACTACTGGGTGTACACTACGGTCTAAAGATATGGCACAAACTTCAATCAGATAACTTAAACTCACCTGGAAGAGTATGAAGTGAATCAGATGGAGCATGAGATGTGGTCGGCTGAACCAGAAAAGCTCGTCTCGTGGTTTGATCGGCTCCCCGATCAGAGTATTGCTGTTCGCAATTTCTATGGCAAGAATAGTCATTATATGCTGTAGCTTGGTCCCAACTACGAGCAGAAGCTGCAGTATACAGAACAGTCTCAATCAGCATCAACCACCATCGGCAATTACATTGTCATGGTACAACGCTAAATTGCTGGTTTAGTCTATAAGTGTGTTGATAGGACATTACCAGCAAAGGCAGAAACGCTATCCAGAAATATGTGTACCACCCTGAAGAAGAAACATAATACTTACAAGCAGTCAGTTGATACCGAACATTAGTAGGTCAAGAAAATTTACATGAGAACGCATGTAAAGCTGTGTAAGTGGTATCCAGTTTAGAAGCATTGTGTCGAATACAGAGAATAGATGGTAACACTTGTATAAGTTGACATAAGAGAACTTACCGTAAATATTTAGGAGCATGAACACTATCACAAACACCCAGAGAGATGCGCTGCGAGTAACAGAAGCAAACGATCGCGTTAACAACTCTTGATAACTACGTCACGGAAACGGATATCTGGCTTGCTTCAAAGACAATAGTTGATCATAATCAGAAAAACACCATCAGCAGACAGCAACTAAGTCTAAATAGTAAATCACCAGCAGTCACATGACAGACGTCAGCTTCGGAGACGAAATGTTCTCTGAGCAGGAACCAACCTGATGCCAACGATGACCTTAAAATCTTCTTCCATAGTCTGCATCATGTACTTTAAGAAGTTGAACTTCGGTCCTACATTGTGATTCTACATTCACAGCAGAGATGGACAACATCCGAGATACAATCAAAATTGATTTCGTCCGCAATCTCGAAGTGTCCATCGTTCAGCTTAGGGCTTATTTAATTCCGATGACCCCTATTTAAAGAACACAACCACTACTGAAGATAACGAAGAGAGTAGGGAGGCAGCATAGGGTGAAGGAAGATTGTGCATTTTGCAAGTCAGAAGGTGAAGGTCAGGGTTTACCTTCACAAAACCGAGACGAAGGGTCAAGTAATCCGATTGTTTTACCGGACGATAGAATTGCCTAAAAAAACTGTCCTGCAGGAGATAACACGCGAGTTTTAGATAGGTTCAAATTAGCTTCCAACGGAAGTAGTCTGTAAATCATGAGAAACGTGCGATACGATGCCCGCATAGAACTTGTAATCGATTCATGAAGAGGAAGTCGATACTTACGATCCATTGAAACCAAGCTTTGGATGTCCACGGATGCTGAGTTCGGTCGGTCACGAAGGAATTCTGCCGCGACATTTTGAAAGAGTCTCTGATGGCTGTCATGCAGCGTAATTAAGTCAGGCGTTAAGTACCGGCAAGTAAGTGCAGCATTAACGCGAGAAGTAATCAGCATGTCGTTGAAAATGCAAAGTCACGAGAGTACTGAGATTCAGGCGTTTGATCAAAAAAATTCACTCCAGAGAAACCAGCGAAGAATATTAGAAAAGTACGTCGAGATTTGACCATTACCATCTTGCTGCCAGTATTCCTCTTCCCACTTTCCCCATCCTCTCATCTGAACATTCAGCGGAACCAAACATATTTCTTTTAGTGTCGAGCATTTGCCCACATTGCGTTGAGCGCAATTATCTGCAGTGACTGCAAAGAAGACAAAATGTGGCTAGCACAAACCTGAAGTCTCGCCAGAATCATCGTCAGGCAGCTGTAGAATACATGTACGAGGGCCATGACGAAGATGAAGATGTGAAGCTGGTGTATACTCTCGATGGACATCAGAGGCACTTTTCCCTGTAGGCACTCCAACGAAGACATGAGGTTCAGTGACTGGGAGTCACTTTCAAAGCTGACACGACGATCCAAGCGATTGCGAATGCCAACCCTGAAGCCAAAGGCATCTGTGACTCAGGAGCATGCATGCTCAAAGATGGCTGAACGGCCAGAGACTCATCGCACCTGGACACACATCTGAGCTTCATTATCACTGTCAGCACGGTTGGGCATCAACACTCCGTGGCTGGGAGGGGCTTCGGCGCTGCACGGCAGCATGTAGTTGGTCAGTCGCTGTGGAATGCAGATTCGCGTCAACGAATTCCTCGAAGCGGTCAGAAAAAGAGACAGAAACCCGAGCATCATCAAGTCTGCCACCATAACATGCCCACCAATCAACAATTCTCAGTTAGTCTGTCAGTCGGTCTCGACAGTCCTCCTTCGCGTCCAAATCCATCTCACGAGTACAAAACCATCTGTCCTCTGGGTCTGTCTGTCAGTCGTCGGCGGAGACTGATCAGACCATCCGGAGCGGCTTCGAGCGAGAATGACGCAAATTCCGGACCTGAGACGATGTGCATAAAAATCGGTGTACACGCTGCTCGTGAGTCCCGAGGCAGAGAGAGGATGCCCTCACACGTTTCGAGCCTTGTGGTAGAGAGAGAGAGAGAGAGAGAGAGAGAGAATGAATGAACTTCAGACGACACACCGACGTGGTGGAAAGGACGTGAAGTTCCATCATCTTTAATAAGTGCTCACCTTCTCTCATCCGATGCAATGTCTCCTGGAGTGGCTTTTGGTTGGTGCGCTCGAGGTACTGCAATACAGCGAGCGAGCAAGTCCGAGGCATGAGAGCTGGGAAAGTGGTAAAATGCTCGCACTATCGGATCCACACGCAGCGCTTGGAACGGAGAGAACGGAACGATTCGAGCTAGAAGGAATGGAGGAGTCCCACGTACCCGACTCAAATGCTTGAGCGAGGCCTCCACTAGAATCGACACGGCGACGAAAACAATGCACACGACTCCCACAGCCCAGGTCGGTGTATGCTCGAGTGTAACATCTGGATCGTACGCAGTTTGCATCTCCGTGTTCAGATCCATCTTGGAGCTCAGCCTCGCAGCGTCCTGAAGCTCTTGAACCTCCCGCAGCTCCCGAGCCCCTCAAAGCTAACAATTCTACGACTACTATAACAATGCCGCTACCTCCACTCACGTGACTGCTATTCGACAGCCTGTAAGAGATTTCCTACTCACTCGAGCTAAACCGTCAGGTCGCGTCGCGTGGGCATGTGAGCTCACTCACAGTTTACTGAAATTGGTGGCTCCGCTGCCAGACGACAAAAGACTGTTGAAAATAGACGAGAGCCTCCGCCCGAAACTGCTTCAGCGCAGTCTGCAGTAACTCATCCTTCAATCTCTCTCGTGCCTTCCTTCATGTTGGACCTTCTTCTCTCCACCTTCTCGAAATCAACTTCTCGCCCTTCTCTCTCTCTGTCTCTCTCTCTCTCTGTCTGCTTGTCCAAGGCTGGTAGTTGACCTGCAGTCAAACTACGTCAAACATCGAGACGAGGGCGGATCCACGACCCTTGCAATGCTCACGCGCGGTCTGCTTTGGTCTGGTCTGGTCTGGTGTCAGGGGGAGAGAGGGAGAGAATGTAGAAAGAGAGACCTGCGCGCTTTGAGATCAGTCTAACATGGCTGCTGCACAAGGGCTGTCTGTCTCTAGAAAGGCCTGACCCGAGGAAGGCTTGTAGGAGCAGCTGGATCTGCTCCTCGTTTACATCGGTCAGCTCATTCACAAGCGGATCTCACTGAATCCGCTCCTCTCACGAACAAATCAGTCCGTCAGTCCCTCCTCCCGTCCGTCTGTCCGTCTGTCCATCTGTCCGTCCGTATGTCCCCACCCCAGCCCAAGCCTTGAGCAGCGAGAGACACCTCCACCGGACGACCTTCCATCCTTCTCCTCCCGGGCGCTCCAGCGTTTATAGGGATGCTCACGGCTCGGCTAACGTCTAGCCGGCTAATATTTTTCTGTTATCCGGCTTGCCGATTATACAGCCGGCTTGCCGTCGGCTAATCGGGTCACAGATAATATTGCCACCGCTATACGAGACCGAAAACTCAGACCGAGTCTACGTTTGCGGCCGATTATTTCGACTGATTTAGCCAAAATTATCCAATAAAAATTAGTGCGGACGAATATTTCGGTCGATTGCATTTTCGGCCGATAGCCGATTAGCCGGCTACGTGACCATGCCTAAGCGTTTACATGAATCTATCTGCCCCTGCACCTGCCCGCCAGAGTGATCTGGACCCGATGAAACAACAAGCCGTCGCGATCCCACAGTTGTGACCTCTGAGGGCTGCCTCCGTCTTATTGGCACGAGTAGTACCCCCTCTGGCTCTCGCTCGCGTGGTTCACGGTCGATTCTCTCTCTGGCCATGGTCGCCTACCAAACGCAAGGCATCGGGGCGTTCCTCCCTCTTCTGGAAGGCCGGACGTGTCGTGTCGTGTGCTGCCCGGCCTGCCCTCCCTCCCTCGGACCCGCGCTCACTCACTCCCTGACCGAGCCGGCCCTTCATTGAAAGCCGTAGTTTTACGAGGCTCTAAGCTCTTGCAAGGGTACCTTCATTGGCCCCGTACCCGTACGGCCTCCATCGGAGATATGGACGTTCAAATCTTTGTCCACCCGTCGAGTAACGTGGCCACTTCATAAATTCGGAAAATGCAAGCGCCCTGTTGTATTCGTTGAACAGGGGATTGCGAATCTCCTTCTACTCGCCCCATGCAGCAGTCCGAGAACGCGCTTTGGTACTTGGATCCTCTTCCACCGATCATCAATCGACGTCCTTCGTTAGCGAGTGAGTGATGGAACCACTTCGGTTTAGATTTGCCAGTCACAGCCGTCCCGGGGGGCCATGGCAGTGCAGGGCAGAGAAGAGCAGGGCAGTACAGACCAGAATCTGTGGCTTGAGGCTGTGTTCGGTCTACGTGAGAGGGCAATAGTATTCGTTATTAGTTTGCCGATCCACGTATTCTTCTCTTGGCATCTTCATGTCCGTAATCGTTAAGTGGGTGTGAGCAAAAGAAGGCCGTACGTGTGCTGAGAAGCGCTTGGGCCACTGGAGGAGATTGTCTTTCTCATCTCTTAAACTCCTCTTTGTGTAACTGAGCTTTGTGAGCAAATTTGTCAGTCAAATCCGGTCGTTTGACCGATTCTATCGAAGGGATTTTGGGCGGGTCTCTCTCCAGAGATGCAAGTGATGGAGTTAAAGGTCTATCAGCGATGTAAGCAAGCAAGCGTGCTTCAGGGTCCGGTACTTACGAGCCCTAAACTTGCGCCGATGGATGCAATTAGAAGTGATTTCGGAATGAACGCGTTTGTAATGGCACAGATGTTCTCTGGTCTTGTAATGGGCATGCAGTCCCTCCGAAATGCTGGGATAATATATCTCGTTAGGATGAGAAGGGATGAGATCTGATCCGCGAGAGGAATGTAGAGGGAATGAAGCATTGTAACAAGGAGCACGACTTGAACTCGCACCCAAGGAACAAGGGAACATCAATCTGTAGTGACGCATGATACTTGCGGTCACATAGCTCTGGAATAAACGCTTTCAATCCACTGTTTGCCGCTTGCTCATACTTCTCTGTTGTCATACAGAGCTCCAGGACAGGCCTCCTTATAGAATCACTTCTTATCCAGCATCCATGGCGCTTGACCACTGATTGCTCAGCGCTACTGTATTCACTTATGCCTACTTTACCATTAAACCAAAGGACGAGGGGGAAAGGCAGATTTTACTCCCTCGTGGCCGTCTGATGTTCCACCTACACACCCGCCTCAACCTTTTTTCCGTGCGATTAGATTTGCCTGAACAGTGATGACTATGCTTGATCGTTTCTTAGTCAACAAGTCCAAGATCTGAGTCCAGGCTCCAGAAGGTATGAACTGTAAGGTACAACTAATCATTAATTTCAATTCTGGACTGAACTAGATTACACTCAGAAACAACCTCATCCATCTTCTGCTAAGTGATATCTTCTTGTATTTGATGTAATGTTTATGCCATGATGCGAATGCTCTTATTCATGTTTCAAAGATGATTGATGTTTCACTTCCTAGCAACTGAGCCTCAGCAGGCTAGTGAGGGAAATCTTTACTCCGTTTCATCTTTATCTTGTCATTCCTTAACCGCAAAATTCCAAGCAGCCCTCTTGATGACGTAGTGCCTCTTCTTTTGCCTCATCTTAATTTGCTCGTGTAGCATATTCTACGTAAGCCTCAGCTTTTGCAAAAGTTGCAAGAACATAAACACACAAGCAGATGCGCCTTGAAGAACAGGTCATAATATGAACGACTCTCGCATCGGCTCAAATTGCCATTAGCATAAGTTGTACCAAGAACATGCATCCAGTATTTGAATGTCGTACGCCCACAAATAGATAGTACCTTTCATTGAAGAGACCCAAAAAAACATCGATAATGTTGAGATGTACAAGTATCCACGTTGATCTCTTTATGCCCCTATCTGATTGTTAGAGACTTCGTGGTTCATACTTTGGCTATTTTATGATTCTAAGTTGGTATCCCCATGGATATTGCATCTGTGCGTACATAGTTCGAGCTAGTCACTGACAATCTACAACTTTCAGTAAGAATGCGAGCATATGAGAAACAGCTCACAGAATGACACAGCATGACTCAGATCCCACAATTCTCACTTCCGTGACGGAAACATGGGACTTTACCAGTTAATATGTTTACATGGCACGTTTGGCTCAGTGTTCGAGATCCCCCACTGCTGCGTGTCCTACCACGACACGATGGTTCTCCTGCGCAAGGGGTAAGTTTGTGTTGGAGCGGATCAGATTTTAACGTGATTGGTGTACTATTGGTAACATGTGCATCTTTCCTGTTTGATTCAAAGCACACTCTCCCGGTCATCGACACTTTTCATTCCCAGCGACATATTCTCTGACGGCTGGAAAAATCATTCAGGAAGAGCAAAATGATGGTACATGATATAAGACTTTGATATATTATGAGGCTACAACCACGTCCAATTTTCGTTTGCAGTCAAATTTTGATTCTGTTCTTGTCTCTTCAACCAGTTGATTGCAGGCATAATGAAGGTTCTCTTATTGTAGGCCTCAAGCTGTGACGCTAAATTCTTCCTTCATGGAACTTACATACCTCACTTACATACCACGACAAGCGCATGACCGAATGAACTATAGTAAGCTCATTCCATGCCTTTCTCATACTTATAAGCTCAATGAGCTGCAATATATGACACTTCCAGATGAAGAATATAATACACAGCAACATTTCTTCAGGATAAATGAATATCCACATTTCAGCCGGTGGACATCAAATTTGACGGAGATGAAATCCGGGGCTGCTCTCGGTGGCACCAGACCCTGTACTGTACCCAAAGAGTGAGAGCCATCCAAAATGCATGAGCTCAAGAAACGTCGGAATTCCATGCAATCGCAAGAGGAACTAGAACGGTAAGGAAGGGCACAAATCCATGCAACTTACGTCGCAGCACTAATATCTACGACGTCCGCAGCTATGCGACAAAAGGAGGAGCCTCACGCAGACAAGGTTCCAGCAATCAATTCCAACCCAGTTCCCAGTCCCCAGTCCCCAGTCCCCATCAGGACAGGCATCCTCCAGGTCTCGCACATAACGACCCCCTATCTTGTCCTATGTGAGAAGCAGAATGCCATCCATCCGTCCCTCGATACCTCGATCTCGTGCATGATCTCTTCCAGGAAACTTGACCATCACGCAAGCGCAGCAGCGGGAGGGACTCTTTGCTTCTTCTTCTTGCCTTCCGTCTTCCGATCCCGCCGGATATGGTGTCGATTTCCCGGTCAAATATTCGGCTCGCAATCGGAGAGTCGCTATTGCGCCAGCTAGTTTAGCCGGACGCGCGAGTCCAGTTGTCCGTCCCCGAGGGCTGGCTTGGCCGGAACCACGGCGGTCAGTCGCGACACGACCGTGGTTTGGATTCGAATCGTCCGCGGCAGTAGCAGCGCGGGGATTGGGATTCCTCGTCATTGTGCTGCTGGAGCTCGCTCGCTCGATGGCTATGGCGACCTCGACGGGGGCTGCCGCGGCGCTGAGCTGCGGGAGCAGGGGGGTGGCGTCTCTGGTGGCGAGGAATGGCGTCGATTGTGCGGCGAAGGCGAGAGCTCTGACGGGAGGCTCATCGTTGGATGTTCTTTTTCGGAGAAATTGCAATTTGGGTCGGGGATTAGGCGCGGCATTGCACCTGGCCAGCTCCAGCAGCGACTGCGATGTTGGCGAGAGGTCTTTTCCCAAGGGGCTTGCCCTCGGGGGTGGTGTCCGGGGAGTGAGCTCGAGTCGCCTCAGGAAGCTCGGCCCCAGGGCTTCGGTCCAGCAGGGAGTCGAGCAAGAGTCGGAAAATGTCGTCACCCAGAAGACGGATTTAAAGGCGTTTCTGGACGATTTGAAGAGCTTCGGCAGGGTAGGGTTTTCGTCCTTCTTGAATTTGGGCTCTTGATAAACCCCCGCCACGGCCTGTTGCTTTCTCACCCGACGTAGACTGATGTACCTTGTGAAACCAGCAGCTGCTTAATTATCTGCTGACTTCGTCGGATTGCAAGCAGGTGAGGCTGATCGTGAACACCGGCGTGGCCGTCTTGGAATCCGTAACATCGTTCGAGAAGCTGTTCTACCATGAAATGCCCGGGCGTGGAGAGTGGGCCAACTTGATGCTCAGGGAGGACAATGTGGACTTCCACCTGCTTCTCGAGAAAGTGAAGTCGGCGTCCTTGGCCAGGGGCAAGTCCATGAGAGGTGACATTCCCACGTACATGGTCAAGCTTCTCGACATCAATGACAAGGCAGCTGTGAGCGTGCTCGTGATGTGGAAGCCCGGAACGGACGGAGAGTACGACCCTGGTCAGGTCGAGGCTTTCGAAGCTTTCGAGGCCAAGTACGGGACGGAAGTGAGATTCGTAGATTAGAGTAAAGCAGAGCAGAGAGAGTGGGCATTGGACCCATTCTATTCCAGAGTTCAATTTTAGTAGAGAATTTTGAGAAATGTGGAGAGGGCTTTGTTTGTCTCGGGGCTTTAAAATCCGAGCAGATTAGGACCTGGTCCCTTCCGGGAAACGTTGATATTGTTTAGCGAGAAGGGCTAATTTTGGAGAACCCGATCGTCTTGATCGGACTCGACAGAAATGAAGGTCGTAGAATATCTTGTTGTTCGACATCCTCGAACAATGGTGGGACATTAGCATTTGCGCTTTTGTGTCACATTCCGAGTACGATTCACAAATAAATGTTGCGCACGGAAGACGTGTGACTCTGTACACAGCTGCGTGTCTCCCGGTTGAATGCTGAGAATATGCTCCCCTCCCCCTCAATTCCTCCTGGCTCAATCGCCAATGCGCCTAAAACCCTCTACTACAACCTCTACCACTGCGAGAAGTGTTCTCACATTGTCACCGTCCCAGCAGGCGAGCGTGGAGAGTTATGGTCACGCGGGCAGGCAATCAGATTCAGGGCCTTTCTCGACTTCCGGTAGACCTCAAGCACTAAGATATGCAATATGACCGAGGTGGACGGCTTTAATGCTTCAATCCTGTCCGTATTATGGCAACCAGTTTCGTCACGAGTCTGGGCACCACCAGACTCGACATTTCCCGAAGTAATTGAAACATCGTGCTAAAGAAGTGGTGGGCGTAAAGCTTCGGGGGAAGAGAAATCGTCCAATCTGTGGAGAGCTGAACGTAAGGCATCAGATATACGTAATCGTACGCACAAAGTCAATGGGGTGGATTTTCAACCAAGCTCGTGGACCGAATCCTTGTGCCCACAATGAAGTACGATAAACTGTCCAAGCCGCCAATCAAGTTAATGGAAACTTGTAATGCATGCACATGGGACTGTGAACCCATTCCCTCCATGTCTACAACAAACTCGTGGTCGAGAAGAACTCTTCGGCAGAAGACATAGAGTACAGTAATGTGGAGCTAGATTATCCCTCAGGCCGTGATTTGACCGCAGTTGAGGGCAGGCCGGGCCGGACAAGCCCAAGAGGGAACTGTCACAGTACATGAGTCCGTTTTGCTGTCTGGAGCCCAATCATACAGAGGCGGAACATTCATACATGGATCCCTGCACCAAATGATTATGTGCCACGAATGATCTTGAAGGACGTTTTCCTGCTGCCTAATGCCCAGATGACGGCAGAGTGGATCTGCGTAACGTCTACACCGTAGGGACCAGCTGTTGGGTACGTTGGAATCCTGGACCAACTGCTGCCACCCCTTCTTAACGAGCCCAACTGGACGGGTATCAATCCGGCCAGGTAGCATTGTATCGACAAGACTGGCAGAGACATTTCGGGTGGCAGAGTCGGTAGAATTTTTGTTATGATGATTGATATCTGCATCGCAGTCACACTCTCCTAAGTATTGTTCCTTCTTCACTGATCTGACACCGGTTTCACGTGTAGTGGGTTTCTTAGTGGGTACAATCAACCTCAGGTGTCCGGATCTGTGTGGGGAAGGATGCTTCTGCGTTCCGCGTGATAGGTAAAGCTTTTTGACATTTCTACCGGCTCGAAACTTCTTCTCTGACATTTTGGAGCTGGTAGGCACCGTATTCTGTCACATGAATCCCTTATGCTTCTGGGAACTAACGATGTGCATGGTTTTGACAACCCAATCATGTAATGATTACATCAGAGCGGTGGAGCTCACTCAGTAGCACATCGAGAATTCTGTCGATGAGCTCCGTTCTGCTAAACTGGTCCGCCGTAATGTTTGTCGAATTCCGTCTTGGAGCATGAGATGCAGTCATCTTACTGAAGGAGTGAAGAATTAATTTGGCGTTTTTTGATCATAATGCAGACCTCGGTCCAAAATAAGCTCTTTGTTCTGGGATTTCTAAAGCACTTGACTGCATATAAGAGTGGACTTCAGGGGAGGTGAGGGTATCTATGAAGGGAGCATCGAAAATGAACGGCCACTTTGTCTGCATGCACGCTTCCTCTCATTCCGTCAGTGACTGTCGCATGTGTGATGGCCCAAAAGCATATTGCATGTTAGTGTCTTCATGGATCGATCCATTCTTCAGCTTCTGCTTCTTCCGGCTCTTCTAGATTACAGTCGCTCGTCAGAAAAACTGACGAGCTTTTGAGCTTTCATATGAATCAAGAAGAGATGAGCTGCAAAGTATTTGCAGGAGTGACGTCTAAACTGAACCAGACGAACCTTCCTGCAATAAGCTCACCTTAGTCTGACACTGTAAGTAGCACGCTCCCAGTGCAGGTTACATCGCAGTGATGTTTTACAGGGAACAGTCAAGACCGGAGATCTTGGGCAAGAAAAGTGATCGAGTTTTACGCGTTTTCAATCGAATCGACCCCTGCATCCAACGACCGGGCTCGGGGGAGAAAGTTTCAAGTAATGAAGGTTTCAGACATTATCTTCTCCTCAATTATACGACCGGTCGCTGTATTCACGTCCGGAAGAATCTACAAACCTTTGATCTCTTCTTGCTTTGGACTGTCGCTTATGGTTCTCAAGACTTCCACAAGTTCAAACGTAAGGAAGGCGGTTACTTGCAGAGCCCTGGAATCTGGATGGAGGAAATAACTCCAAGACATGGCTGCTTGGAACGCTTCTCGCTGGATTGAAGGAAGAGAGTTCAGTTATTTGTGGACTAGCGTGGATTCTGCCTATAACGCCAGAACCAGCATCGAAGAGCCCAGCAGAGTGAACGAATAAAATCACAGTCCAGCGGAATCCCAACTGGATTTTGGGAGTCGGAGAAGCAAAAGATACAAATGGGCCCCAGGAGCGAAGACTCGTGGTCATAACAATCAGTTTTCACCTGTGGTAAGTTGACGACTGATGATCCACCGCACTTAAATCGATTTATTTTAAGGAAAATTGGACATATTCATGATAGCGCAATATGATTCCAACTCTTGACATCACTTTCGGTAAGAGAGTGAAATTCAGAAATCTTAATACAACAACATTTTTTGATTTACTCTTGGGAAGTTAGAAAGTCCGGATTTGACCAAAGATTCCGGTCTAGAAGTATAGTAACTGCTTTGCAACAACCGTTTAATGAGAAGCCGGATACGGTACCGAAGAGCATGTGGACATCTGCAGACAAGTGGCAAACGGTCCACTAATACTTGTGCACGGTTTATGAGGTACTGCAGTGGATTTTTTATGATGAGGACGACAATCAAGTCATAGTAGAAAGGCTAGTGATGCGCAGATCATTACCCATTGTACTTACTCGAGTGGCCTCAACTGTGTGGTAGATATTGTTCCTTTCAATCGAGAGTCTCAAGTACTTATATCATCTCATGTACGTATGGAGAAACCCAACTATACTGTATCAGTTACAAATCTCGATTCCAGCAATTCGATTAGGTCGGTATTTCCGGAGATTCACGAGCATCAGTGGCCAACGGACTCCAATTCCAAAGCATGGTCTCCGTTGACCTCCTGATCTAATGGTGTTTGAAAGGACCATGGTAGCCAAGTCCCTAATTCCCTATTCTCAGTCGTCGTTTCTGTGTTTCTGCAGTGAGGTTCCCTTATCACCGATGTGAGTTACGTCAGTTCAACGCTCGCTGATGTTCATTACCGTAATAGTATACCTCGGAAATCGACAGCCTTGGGTGCAATATAAATAATAATAGACAAAGGCACTTCAGCGCTTGGCGCACATGGCACTTTTTGTAAACTAATAGCAAAAGAGGTATATTTTGGACAGCCTTGGAGATTTGCTGATCGTCCAAACGAAGAATAGTACTTCAGTCAGTGACGCGCAAGTCACTTGTTGTAAGCTAACAACAAATGAGTTATATCTTGAACAGCCCTCAAGTTTTGCTGAACGTCCCAACGAAGAATGGATACGTCTTGCAAGCCTCATCACAAGATTTGTTTATGACTTCAGTCCAAGGTATGCGATCAGAGTGAGAGTGAGTATAGGTCCAGACGTATTGTCAGCTGCTACTTTTTAAATCTGATATTTCAGAGATAGGTGATACAAGATACTTTTGCAAAGATACAGACATTGAACAATCCGCTTTAAATAAAATGTATATCTCCGCGTTACAATCCAATTCGGCTCGATACGTGATAAAAAAATTTGTCGGTATTTTACTAGCTGAGCCACTCGGCAAAACCCGTCAATTTGGGTCTGTAACTATCTTATAATGATGTCCTGTGTGAAAATGTCAGGGGGTGATGACGAAACCTGTGAGAAAAATCAGCGTGCAGCTATCCAGTTTAATTGTCGACGTGACAGTGGTTGCCGACTCAAATAAAAGAGTGCTTGGATAGATTAGTCCTGGACGTAGGCTCGAGTAATCTTCACGTCATGCACAGGCCTGTGAGTACAGAGTTCAAAGGCCATAAGAATTACAGCAGACGCTGAAGAGTCTAACTTTCGCAGATTAGCGTAGTTCGAATCAAAGGACTTCCATCTAGATAAACTTGTTGTCATGTACACTCATAGTTGCCATTTATGAGTGTCCAAACAAGATCAAACTTAAGAATGAAATATAGTAATCAGCAAAAGGATGACAAGAAAGGTAAAGAGAGAACGAACCTGTCATTTTTGTCTGTTTGAACATTTCCAAGTCGCTTCAAGACTTCCATACCTCTACAAACTCGTCCAAATATAGTATGCTTGCCTGCGAGGTAAATGGTAAATGGTAAATGGTAAACGGCAAACGCGAGGGATCAGCGCAAAGAGTTTCTGCCTTCAGCTCGGAGCTTAGCATCTTACAGTCAGTCCTTGTAACTCATGTGAACTACTTCTGTACTAGACTCTGATTAATTTAGCGTGATAGAGAAGATTCCACTAAGCTGTACAAATACGCAAGTTGAGATTCCCAAACTCGGTTCAAGTTTTGAGTCGTACCATCAAGCCAAGGTGTAGGTGCGAGGGTTAGAAAAAACTGACTCCCATTTGTATTGGGACCTGAGTTGGCCATGGACAATATTCCAGCACCAGTGTGTTTCAAGTCTCGGTGGATCTCATCTTCAAACTTAGCCCTACATTCAAGAAATCGAATCAAGTTACTCTACAAGCTACACACATGGACAAGCTCTCTTATTCCTAGTTCTAGGAATTTACCGGCAGGTAAGCTCGTATCTAAGCCTGACCGAACACACTTCAAAACAGTGAATAAACACATACAACAATGAAGTCAATGAAGCTATGTCAGCAAAGATAGACCGAGAAGTTGCAATCTCCCTCTAATGGGAGCATCAGTAGAATAGTTACCCGTAAATAGATTCGCCTCCTCTTCCTGTGTTGGTCGGATCTCCAGTCTGCGCCATGAAATCCTGTGGAAACATTCAGCCTTTCAATACCTCGGCTCCTCTTTACAGCTGAAGTGAATACTTATTCTTATGCATGTCCATCCATCACTAAACTCTAACTGCAGAAAAACAGATAAAAGACGGCATCCGAATGAGGCAAGGTACCTTTATAACGCGGTGAAATCTAACGTCTTCGTAGTAGCCACGACGAGAAAGCTCGATGAAGTTCCTGCATGTCTTAGGAGCATGCTTGACATACAGCTGCAATTCAAAAAAACATTCGTAACCTTACGTCAAAAAGATCGTATACTCTTCATAAGAGCAATGTTCAAACATGACAACCAGACAGGAGGACATTCTAGGGTTGTGTCTTTTTGGGTCCTGAGCAGCGTTCAAACCTCACAACGTAGCGGGAGGGATTAATAAGTTCAAGAATTTTGTATTTCGTTCGTCCTACGTCAAGAGTTAGGTTTTTTCCAATTCTCGGTTCTGTCATGAATAGAAATCATGCTGTGCGAAGAAACCCAGAAGTCGAAGGCATTTCTGTGAAAGATAACCCACTGATCGGCTTGATAAAGTAAAAAATGTAAAACTTGTCCTCATAATTCTAATTTCGGTGCATCGGATACCCATAGCAGCTGAAGTCCACCGTGGATTGAAAAGGCTCTCATTCCAGTTTTTCCGAATTGGTATATAGTTGGGAGTTTTCAGTGTCAAACTGTTTCCGTGGCCCCAAACCTGCCTCAGTATCAGTCTGCTTTACTTCGACAGCGTTCTTGATTACCTGTTATCTTCTGGATAATATTGGCACGCCCTTTCAATTCTCGCTACTGATCCAACAATGCTGTCGTCTAATGCCTTTCGCAAACGCCGAAAAGGATTGCCAGAATTGCTTGCATCAAACCCGTGCAATTTAGCTAGTTTCTTCACTTCACGGCTGGTATAAATAGTAGCTAGCCGTAGCACAACTCAGATTTGGAAAGAAGCGAGGGCATTGATGATATTTCTGCGAGCCATTGGTACTCCTGGATCAATCCGAAGCTCCGTTCTCAGGCGATGATCGACACCTGAGCGGCCCCTGTCAGCTGAGATGTGGTGGTCGTTCCCTCTAGGACATGACCAGGAGGAGACACTTGAGACATGCGCTCCGTATGCGTCTGGAGGAACTCTTTCCACGAAATTTTGCGCACTCGACGCAATCATTCTAGACAATCACACGAGGTCACCAAGCAAATCACACAGTGGAAAGAAATGGAGAGAGAAGGGGGCACCTCCACCACGATATCTCCCATGGTTGTGTTTAAGCACACTTGAGGCGCCGCTGCGTCTGCCATGGCTGCAGCTACCATGGACGCAGTCTCGCATGCTCTGCCCGATGCTCACCAGCAGAAGGGGCAGAATCAAGCAGGCCAGTACGGCCACTGCACACAATTCTAGTGTCTCCTCCACGATTCCTACTCACCGACGCCCTCGGGTATGAAGCGAGTGCCAAATCCCTCGTCCTCGAACGAAACGAACGCTGACCTACGGGCTCGCCAGTCCAGTCGACCCAAAAATCTGCCGCAAAGACTCTCGACGCTGAAGCCACGGGAACCGACGAAGGCTTCAGACCCCGAACCCCGAACCCCAAACCCCCGAGCGGAGCAAAAACGATTCAAAAGGGCCTCCCTCCTCCCGCTGTCCACGACGCTGCCACCAACGTCCGCTTGTACCCTCCCTTCCTTTGCCAGCAACATGCTCTTTGCTGGGGAAGAGCCAAACGATCCAAAGGGCCCCTGCCGCTGTCGACGACGCAGGCAACGTCCGCTTGTACCCTGTGCCTTTCTTTGCCAACAACACGCTCTCTCAGCTGGGAAGAGCCATACGGCACTCACTGCTTCCGATCCGTTGAGTCCTGGCCAGTGCCGAGCTTCATTCATTCTGTTGTGTTCTCGGTGGGGTCAGTCTCCGCTGTGGGAATATTGATGTGGGAACATGCATACGCAGGAGAGAGGACTTATGGTAGACTGTGTCTCACTCTCTTTGCAACATAATTTTATTATTCACTCATACCTCCTGGTATGGATTCGCTTCTATCCCCAAGCTGTCGACAGTCTTCAAAATGCCATTCTGTTCGAGTTTAGAGATGATATTATAAACTTGTACATCCTTCGTCATTGTGGATTTCATAATTTGTCAAGATTTATTTTCCAAATTACATATATTCATATAATCAAGAAAAGCACTACCACTCAAAACATTATAAGATTAGTAGTTTAACATAGAGTTTGTTGTGTTAGGGAATCTCAATAAGAAAAATACAAATAGATACAACTAACAGAGGAAACTTGTTTCATCTCTTTGAATCTACGTCTATTCAAACACACATTTTTTTCCTCACAAAAGCTAGTACAATTTCTCATTTATAATGACATACTGACCTTAGTCCTACTAATTAGAGTAACACTAACAGGAATTAACAGATAACAATTTTCTGATAATTTCAATATCATGATACATTTGTTATAGGCTGATAATACAAAATAAAAATTTAAGATTTTTTTAAATAAATTTTGAATACATAAAATTGAAGCACATGATACAATAAAAATTCAATTAAAATATAACTTTTTCTATTAACTTTCATATGTATATATGTAAGAAGAGTAAATCAAAACACTATATGTTAATCTATACTTAATTCATATATTTTTTCAAAATCTATTGAAAAATATTTTCATACATTATTATCTGCACTAATAGAATATATCTTATTGAAAAAATAAGAAGCCAAAAATAAAACTTGAAATTTTGTTGGTAAATAATCGATTTGAACATACGGTTAAATGTTTACGTCATAACGCAAGCCAAATTTGGAGAGTGGCAACCTTCTGACTAGTTTCTGTTTTTAGATGACAAGTGAAATAACGAAAACTTTTAACGAAAACTTGCATGTACTGAAGATAAGAGCAACCATGTTTAGCCATTCATAGAAACCTTTTGGCATATAGAGGTCGCATCACGGTTACAGCGTCTTTTAAGTAAAAAAAATATATCGATTCAGATGAATAGAGTAAATAGACATTGCATAATATTTCGACGATCATGATCATACCACCCACAATTTGACGTGAAGATCATAAGACATAGATAACTTCTCTATATGATCAGCAAGTACATCCAAAGGACATGTAAAATGAACACTGTTATTCCTCAATACTGCCAGAAGTAGGTTCATATCACGCAGATGATATCATACTTGTAACTTGATGGTAGATTCAAGGCTGCCTCAAAGAACACGTAATTACAGATTCTCGATGCTTCTTGAAATTGATATTTAAATCTTATCCAACGGCTCTAGTTGGACCGAGTCATACGTCACGTCACGGTGACCGCCATGGACCATATAGGCACCGCTATGATCACCAGAATCGCGCATGCTGTTCGTACTCGGAAGATTAATTTCTCGATTTGTGCGTGTCATCCTTAAGCTCACGGGCCGTCATAGTCATCGACCCGACACACAGTTTTTGAGCCATCCTTGCATTGATTACAGATGATGTACGTACAGTGTGTGCTGTCGTTTGTTTGTGCATGAGGTTTATACGTCCAGCCTAGAGTCCGCTCGAGGTACTGCAGCAGTTCGGAATTGCACTAGCAAGATGTGGCTGTTCAAGATGCCTCAGGTGGTGGCCAATTTTCACACAATTCGTGATCATGATATTTGTTTCGGTTTGGTTCAGAGCGTTTGTGCGGTTTTACTTTCAGCGAATGTGCTATTTGAGTTGTCTGTCTCAAACATCCGCAACATATCTGTGTATGTGAGATATCTGTGTCTTTTGCACTGTTCTTCAGTCCTTCCTTCGCTGTAAATCGACATTAGTTCAAACAAGGCCTTTGCAGATCGGCCATTCTGAAACTGATGTTTGACACCACCTAATTCTATCTTCAACACTGTAGACAGTCACTGTGCAATAAGTAGTACTGCAATTTGTAGGTGGAGAAACTTCTCATTCTCCTCGTTCTGCTGCTCAGAGGTGCTTCAAGATTCTTCCTAAGTATGTTACAACTCTAGCTTATCCTTGAGATGAACTCCTTCTTCTCAGCTGCTTGTACGAGCGAGCCCTGTTGCTACAGAAGGCTCGTAGGAGCTGAAAGCTGTATCCTCCTGCGGAACTGCTCAAAGCATTACATCGCTGTAATGCTTTGAGCCAGCCCTCACCTGACGGGTGTCGAATGTCAATGAGTCTTCCGACACTGCCGGAAGCTTCGTTCGCAAACTTTCTTAATCGCTGCCGAGAATCAAGACGAGCTCCATTCAAATTTAGGCTTCTATCAGTATCGTCTAATTTAAACCCACGAAAATATGTATTTATGTGGAAGAGTGCAGCAGAAGTACAGCAGCACAGATTATTCTCCTAGTGACCTGATCGATCCTTCCACCCAAAAAACTCAACTTCAGATCCCACACGACCAAATCATCGATGAAATTCCTCAGAAAAGTCTCAATTCATTCCGAGATCGTCCGTCAACCCCCCGAACCAAGCACCTCCAAAGCAGCGGCTTCCGATTCGAAACCACAATTTCCCTCCCAAATCCATCGACAAAGTTTCCCATTCATGCTCGGATTCCAAATCCAGCGATCGTGGCACGACTCAGAAACGTAGCATCTCGATGAAATTCCTCTCGAAAGAGTCCCCATTCGTCAGAAAGTGTCCGTCGCCACCAGGAGATTCCTCCGGGCCCCGGGTCAGAGATAAGACGAGCAGAGCCCAGAAGGGGAACCTACGCATCGGTCTACACCATCATCGCCATCATCAATCGGGGTAGCATCCCACGGTATCAATGCAGCACGTCCCATCTCGCTTGTCAAGGCAGGCAGTCAGGCCAGGCCAGCCATTGAAAAGGAAGTGGGAATCATCGGTCCGGTCAACGATTCAAAGCCGCAGCGAGGACCCGCCCCGAGAATCGATCGCCCACACCCGATCTAGAGATCGGGCCGGGCACGCGCGAGCAGAAATTTCTCCTTCTCGATCGGGGCAAAGCCCGGGGCACGACGGGGAAGTAATTGCAGAAACACTACGGTCGAATTCACTCGCTGCAGCAGCAGCAAGCGCTTGACCAAGGGGCCGGTCGGCCCGCGGGGACGGTCTGCGCCACATGCGATGATGGATGCATCATGCTCATGCTATGGATGGCGTGATTGGCTGTACGCTGCCATTCAAATGTCACTTTTGCATCATTTGATAAATATTTGGCCCGACTGACATTACCGTATGGACGATCCAAGGCCGAGGCCCGTGGTGGTGAAAAAGAAAGCATTATATATAGAAAGCTTCAGGGGCGGGCGGATACAGTAGCGGATCGAGGGGCAGACAAGGGGTACTCGCACCGGCCAGGTCCTTGGCCTCCCCTCCGTTCCCCGGCCTAGCCGAGGTACCGTTAAAGTTAAACGTGTAATAAAATGTGTTCTACCTTTCCTCTACTATTATCTACTTATATTTTTGACTCTATTTTACCTTTTATTCAGATAATTATCCATTAAAATTAAAAAATATACATTATCCGTTAAACAGGTAATTAAAAATTAAAAATATATTTTAATTTTAATTTATCTTTCAATCAGATAATTATCCAATAAAAATAAAAAATACATTTTACCTTTACTTATTCAATTAAGTTCTTAAATCACCACATTTGGTTGCAAATGATGAGAATTTTTTATGACAACTTCTGAACATTAATATTTGATTATTTGAAATTCTAATAAATACAAAGATGATCATTTTGCCAATATTAAGTGAAAAAGTTATTTATTATCTGAAAAATGCATATAAGATTTATGAATATTTTTTTTCTAATTCTAAAAAATCTTTCCACATAAAACATGAAAGAACTTCCTATGAAGGACGTGAATCCTTCATCATTTTCTATTATTAACCTATTCTTATATTCAAAAGATAACTTAAAATATACAGGGAAAGCTTTAGCACCATTAGAAAATTATATTATTTATTTCGATAAATTAACAATCTTAGCATATTTTAGAACTGGAACATATGTCAATGCTTTTGCTCTGGTATATGATTATACGTATAATTATAATTCTAAAAACCATAAGTTTTTTTATGTGCAAAAAATCTGGCATATAAATATTGCGAACTTAGATTTCTCGGTTAATGGGGTAAGTAAATCAACATTACCTTTACTCTACTTCAACCATTGATTGTCTTTTTACCGTGGAGTAAAAGGTATTTTACGTTACCTTGAAGAGGCCTAGGTGCGAGGGAAGAGGGGGATGGGGAGAGGCATGGGCCATGGCGGACAAGGACAAGAAGAAACTGAAGGTCACTCTCAAGCTTCCCAAGACACATATGAAATCTCCAGCAACAGCACCTTTACCAGTGGGAGCGCAGGCAGCACCAAATTCGTCCGCCTCTGCTCTTTCATTCCTTTCATCACAATTCTCGCCTTCACAAGATCACCGCAAAAATGTGTCATCTCATCATGCTGGCGCATTATCCTCGGCGCTGCAAGCTCAGTCCGCTTCTCACCTCAGATCGGCATCGGCATCGGCCTCTGCGGCAGCACCCGGATCGGTTGCGGCATCGACAACGACATCAGCCCCCGGCAGTGCGTCCAATGCCCCAAACACTCAACAGCACACGCCTCTTAAGAAGAGGAAGTTCAAGGTCGTCGGCAGAGCGGGGCGCTGGTCGTGGGGGCTCCCAGCGCCGACGATAATCTAGCCGGTGTCAGGGATGGCGCAATCAGTTTTGCTGCGGCGGCCTCGTCCGGAGCCGCAGCGCGCGCGTCCCCGGCTGCTTAATTACCACCACCGGCCAAGAAGTCGCACAAGGTGAGTGAGCGTGGATTTTATGCCTAGAGCTTTTCCGACTCTCGAACGAATTGCGAGGTTTTATGGACACTTTGGTGCCACCAGCTTTTTTTTCGCCGTTGCTCTTCTTCACCTTATTTTTCTTGGTCGTAAAACCCATCGCTGTCAGCTGTTCCTGCCGCTGCTGACAAGGCTCTGAAAGTTGTATGTCAGCAGCCGCAAAGTCACCCACGCTGCTTGCATGATGTGACTTGTTGGACCACACCGTTTCTCCTAGCCTGTGAAGGTCGGTGTCCCTGAAGTTGTACCCACTCCCTACACGCGTGACGGACGGTTGATTGCTAGGTCGCCATGTTCCATGAATTAAATGTTGGAAGTGAGTGTCGGAATGTGACTGCTGTAAGGAATTTTGCTGTACCTGCAGGTTTGCTGCACGAAACCCTACCTGCGCCATGCGGCCTGTGTTCTACTTCTCACCCTTCATCCTACCAGAGAACCGAGACAAGTCCAGGATACACAATCCCGACATCTCGGAATGACAGAATGAGAAACGTGAAGCGAGTGATGGTGCCTGAATTCTATAAAGTATCTCTCTGCCAATGTCATGTTTTATCCCCTGTGTTCACCAGTGAAGAAGAATCATCCTCCACACCAAAAGCAAATTTTCCCACACCGAAACGTCGAAAAATCATGCTCCAACTCTTACCTGTTAGCGCCTGAGTAGCTTCCGCGCTCCTACACGAAGGCCTAAGTTATCTCCGCTGGATACCGCTTTTTCTATATTAAGGGCTCTGGTACGAAAGATAATTTTTGGCCTTCAGACTACTCTCTGTCACAGCCTTTTCTTCCTGCTGGTGTGGAACTATCGCCTTAGTTGTAATTTTACTGGTCGTCAGTGGATATAATCTGTACTGTTAGTCATTCCTGGTGTCATTGGCTCTTTGTTGCAGAAACAGGTCAAGCCGGAACCTAAACCTGAATTGCCTGCGCCTGGTGTCGGGCTAGTGTCTCTCAAGGTAGGATGACATGCCAGCTCTCTTTGTTGGCTCGACTTGAGTTTCAGTGAATGAGCTCCTACTTGTACTCTGCTGTTCTAAAATTTTGATGAGTAGTAAACGCTGATCGAGTTTACTGGTTACGAACGGCTGCGCAGGCCCACCACAACAGACGCAGCTACCGCTGCAACCGATCTCCAAACCCCTGCTAGAAGGTGTCCTTGACAAGCTGCAAAAGTATTTCCCTGGCTATCACAGATGTTGACAAGTGATAACTATTGTCAGGTCACATCATTTCATTTCTGTATGTTTGCCGCTTGCACTGCGTGGAGCTTTTTAATGCTTCTCTTTAAATTTCACACATGCATGGAGAATATAATGGAGACGGGAACACCATGTGCTCGTAGTGTTGGTTGTTTTCTTCCTCTTCTCTCGTAAGTACGATGTGCATGATGTGCTGCATGCTCAAGCTGATTTCTGGTTGTGTTCTCTCTGCGCCCCAGGAAAGACACCTATGGAGTTTTCGCAGAACCTGTGGATGCGGCTCAGGTAATCCGCAATCTGATGTTTTAAAAATGAAGTCATGGGTGCAGAAGCTTCTTCTGAATGCACGTTTTTAAGTCTTATCGTCTCTTGGGAAACTCATATCATATGATCTACAGTCTCAATCGTAATTTGATTGACTTTGTGGAGGTCCGGACAGCAGAGTCGGTCGCACCCTCTTTCAGTCCTGACCACTTTTTTGCTGCTGGTTCTTTCAGGTTCCGGATTATTATGACGTTATCAAAGATCCGATGGATTTTGTAACAATGAGGAAGAAAATTAACAAGATCGCTTACTCAACCATGGAGTCTTTTGAGGTTGGTCCACGCGGTTCATAAAGCGCCTCTTGATTTTGATGAACATAGTATGTACACGTTGATGTCGGTTGCTCATAACTAATATCGACTTCTTCGAGTGATTTCATCTGAGAGAACGCCTCGAGGGCTGTCTTGTATCGATCTGGTTGACTCTGTCAGCGCCGAGACTCGTGATTGTTCTGTTTCGTCCATCAATTGTCTTGCATCTTCTATATTGTTGGTTCATCATAGTGACTGTTTTGTTGCTGTTTTTTCAAATGGAGAAAAACCCTATAAGCTTAGCGGTTACTGCATGTTTGGTACATATAAAGGATTTGCAATAGAAGGTATTTCATCAGCCATCCTCTCCTTCAACGACGGGTCACGAAGCAGTCGTTGAGGGAGAGGTGGTTGAATTTTGCCGAACAGCTGTCTTACCGTGTGTCATCAAGTGTCTTGCAACCGCTTTGATTTTGTTTCCTATCCGACTTGCTTAATTGATTTCATGTGAGCAAGAGTGTCGTCTTACCGTGTGTCATCGAGTGTCTTGCAACCGCTTTGATTTTGTTTCCTATCCGACTTGTTTAATTGATTTCATGTGAGCAAGAGTGTTATCTCCAAGTGATTTAGAGAACAGCTATCTTACCATAAAGTATCTTGCAACCGCTATGATTTTGGTTCCTATCCGACTTGTTTAATTGATTTCATGTGAGCAAGAGTGTTAACTCGCAGTGATTTAGAGAACAACTATCTTACCATAAAGTTTGTTGCAACCGCTATGATTTGGTTCCTAATGAGGACTTGTTGAAGTGATTTCATGTGAGCAAGAGTGTTACCTTCAAGTTGTGTAGAGGAGGCCTGAAAGTGGTTTTGCCAATCAGTTTCCTCACCTTCGCAATAGCTATGACTTCCGTTCATAATGTCGTCCAATTCACTTCATCTGAGCAAGAATGTTACCTCCAAGTTATCTAGAGGACACCTGGGGGCTGTCTCCTGTTGAACTGATTGCCATTGTCAGCGCCGAGGGTTGTGTTCGTTTTCGGTTATCGACTATATTGCAACTTCTATGACGTTGCTTCATACTGTAGACCTGTCAAAGTGATTTTCTTTGATGAATAGGGTTCCATCCAAGGTACTTAGAGGACTCCTCGAGGGTTGTCTTCTCTCTAACGGATTGCCACCGTCAGTTCTGACATTAGTGACTGTCAGACTGACTAGTTTTCGTCCTTATCGCGAAATATGGGTCATGCATTCTCAGGACTTTTTCGTTGCTGTCGCTTTCAAATAGAACACAACATGAACCTAGATGGTTTGTATTTTAGGTTTTGGCCTAAGGTAATCTGCCGGGGGAGTGGAGTAGTTGAGGTGAATCACGTCATTTTAAATACGCGTCATGCTTTGAATGAACTATTTCGGCACTGGGACATTCAAATGGAGAAGAACCCCATAAGTTTAGCAGTCAATGCAGGTTTGGTGCATATAAAGGATTTGCAACGAAAGGTATTTCATCAGCGAAGCTATCCTCAGCGTTCGTAGGGGAGGGGTGGTTGCCTTTTGCCGAATCAAACAATTTTGAGTCGGCGAGAACAACCAGGGTGCCAAATCTTACTGTGTGTCATGAAGTCTCTTGCAAGAGCTGTGACTGATGTAGAAGGAATTGGAAAATTCTGGAAACATTGTTGATTTAGTTTGCTTTGGCTTGTGGTGATTTTTATGTACATCTATGGAATTTGTTTCTGTTGGTCGTGCTGTCGCTTTTGATTGGTTGGTTCGTCCATGAATGATCATGCAACTGCTATATTGTTGGTTGAGGAAAGTGAGTATGTCGTTGCTGCTGGTTGAAGTGGAGAGAAAACCCATAAGCTCAGCGGTCAATGCAACTTTGGTGTATATAAGGGATTTGCAACACATGTTATTTCAGCAATCACTCCTTATCTACGAGGGGACACGAAGCTGGTGCCTCGTGCCCCCTCGTCGATAGGGAGTTGATTGCCTTTTGCCGAATCAAACAATTTTGATTGGGCGGAAACAACCAGCTTGCTGAATCTTACTGTGTGTCATGAAGTCTGTTGCAAGAGCTATGACTGATGTAGAAGGAATTGGAAAATTCTGGAAACTGTGTTGATCTAATTTGCTTTGGCTTGTGGTGATTTTTATGTACATCTATGGAACTTGTTTCCATTGGTAGTGCCGTGGCTTTTGATTGATTGGTTCGTCCATGAATTATCATGCAACTTCTATATTGTTGGTTGAGGAAAGTGAGTATGTCGTTGCTGCTGGTTGAAGTGGAGAGAAAACCCATAAGCTCAGCGGTCAATGCAACTTTGGTGTATATAAGGGATTTGCAACACATGTTATTTCAGCAATCACTCCTTATCTACGAAGGGACACGAAGCTGGTGCCTCGTGCCCCCTCGTCGATAGGGAGTTGATTGCCTTTTGCCGAAGCAAACAATTTTGATTGGGCGGGAACAACCAGCGTGCTGAATCTTACTGTGTTTCATGAAGTCTGTTGCAAGAGCTGTGACTGATGTAGAAGGAATTGGAAAATTCTGGAAACTTTGTTGATTTAGTTTGCTTTGGCTTGTTGTGATTTCTATGTCCATCCATGGAACTGGTTTCCATTGTTAGTGCCGAGGCTTGTGATTGGTCGTTTCGTTTTATTTGTGAAAGAAGTTGTTAGTCGCTAGTCTCATCCAAACACACTTGAAATATCCCATTTCATCTACATTTCGTGTGGACACATCTCACATCTGTGTTTTTATAAACACTTAAATTGTTTTAGCTGCTGTCTTGCCCATCGGCTTCTTAAACTGATCGTGATGATGAAGGATTCAAGTGATGCAGATATGAGTATAATAAGATTATGAGACTATTTGCGAACTGGCAAACAAATATAATAAGGAGAGACGTGACTCGTTAGGAGCTCGAGGTATTTGGTCTGAGGACCACAGGTTGCTTCGTGGAGAAGAACACTCCTTCACAGTTGATCCCAATGAAATTTCCTGCGTCTTGAATTTAATTCAGAATTGAATTTGTCTTGAAGCTTGTCTGTCAAGATTTGATTCATTTACGTTTGTTCTCCACGTCAGGATTATCAAGACCTCAATCACTTCATAGTAACCCTTGAGTTCCTGTCAATTTCCATTTCAAAGGACTGATAATATACTTTTGATTGAATTGAATAAATAAAATAAAATAAAATGAATGATCTATTAATCGTAGGGTATATCTTTATGGACTCTTATAACAAATCGAATAAATTGGAGACAAGAATTCTTTCTTGTGCTATTGATGCGTTACGAGTAGAAAAAGGCAGCAACTGCTAGAAGTGTTGATTCACACAATGAATGAACCTCTACGACGTGAATTAACCACTATTTGTAGAATTAGTCACTGAAAATCTTGCTTGCATCCTACTTGATGAATCAAGATAAGGTAGTCTTGCTAGTCGAATTTATCCAGGTCGATCAATTTGATGAACCATGTGATCATTCTATAGACTTTGATTTTTGGCCTACCTACTCTCTTTGCGAGGTAGAGCTTATTGGGTCCTTTATGTGCATAGCGAAATTGCCTTGACTATAATATAAGTACTACTCACTAGCGGTAACTCTTTCTTCAACTTCAAAGAAAATGGGGTGACAGCTGCATGGAGATTACACTTTATGTCTTGGAAAGTACAATATATCCACTCATTGCATAATAGGAAATACATGATGATCTAAGAGGAAGTATGTGGAACGTGCACTGAGTTTCCATTACAAATGAAGTCGATTATAAAGTTTACAGTTCATAAGTACGAATAAGAAACTAGCTACTCTGTTTACGATCCTGTAGATTGTATAAGATCTACCGAAGTAATCCTCACCACTTCTTTTCAAAACAAGGCAAGGAGCAGAGAAGAGTTCACTAAAATGAGACATCAGTTGAGAATGAATCTGGATGTTTGTTACCTTTGATGACCGTTATATCACTGATTTGAAATAATATTTGTAGAGGGAACATCAAGAATGAAATTTCCATATCTTGATGATGAGAAAACTGCCCTTATTCGGACTTAAAGGTGCTTCTTAACTCCTTAACTCAATCATCAAGTGGCGGTAGGTACTTTCTGATACACCCAGAACTGAATCTACAATTGAAAGAAGATGTGTTTGGATACAAAGCTTCATCTGGAGTGAAAATGAAACTTGGGGTGGATCTGATTATTTTTTCCCAATTCAATCAATTGAAAATGCAAGATGGGAAAAAATTAGATCAGATCGTACACCTGTGGTAGACAAAAAAGAGATAAGATTCTAAACATTATGGTTTCTTGAATGATGCAGAGAGGAGCACAAGGTTTCAGAATAAGATGCAAGTACCTCAGTCAACCAACGCAAAAGAGCTAAAACATGACACCGAAGGTTTCTGATGAGGAGAGCGTAGAAGAGTACATGTTAAATACTATTGATCAGTACGTGGATGCTACTGCTGGAGGATCTGCCAGCAGATGTTTACACACATAGCTGCGAGTACGAATAGTTCCAGGGAGAATGGTGGACGAACTCTTACTGCACACCTCTTTGAAAAGATTGCTGAGTTCATGGAATCGGATGTAAAGGCTGCAATTTGAGATGGTGATCTCTGTTGGAACTTACTGATTATTTCCATAGAATCAAATGAGTTCGAATTACAGTGTGCACGATAGCGCTGGTCTGATGTTCCGTACATCCTTCGGGCACATCTACAGTATATGAATTGATTACCAGCGAGTCCAGCGATACGATCGCTAGTCACTCTCCGCAACGGAGGTGATTGACGTATACTTACTGAGTCGGTGTTCACCCCCCAGAATTCGAGAGCTGAGAACCTGATTCTCATCATCAAGCCGCTCTAATTTATCTATACTGCATTTTGAAGGGAACTCTGGCTGCAACTACACACGTCGTACCCTTCCGAGCCCCCCCAGCTCCAGGAAGAAGGCATCATCCAACGAGGAACCTTATGTAAACCTCGGGTCTGTCGAATCGTCGGATGACCTTCCTTACGTGATCCCAGTGTGCTCCCAATTCCTTGTACATGAATCCTCTTGCTTGGTAGGAGCCTTATGCTGGACGTGAAATCTCTTGATTTTAGCTTCTTCGCTCGTCAGGATTGCAAGGTAAAAGATTGGAACGTGTTTGCCTCTAAAAACTTTCTCCATTCACACTCGGTTTCCTTCTGAGTATTCTGAATCCATTCTGGCGATCTGTATCTCAAGACTCTCAAGTAGAGGAAGTCCAATGTCCTGCACCTGCATACATATGTTGTTTTGCTGAAAGGCACAATCACACAAAATAAAAGTGATATCTTATCTGGTAGTAGCCTATGTCTCTGTAGAGTTAAAGTTTAGCTCACGCTATACTCTTCATGGGGTGAAGAATCAGAATACTTAAAATTGTGATGTGTGATAGAAAGAGTCCAGCAAGTGCAGATTATAAATCTTTAAAACAAAGAGTGTCAAGTCTCTCATTGTAAATATAGACTATGTGCTCCAGGTGCTCATAGCATTGTACCGAAATCATCAATCTTCTAGATTTGTCTCGAATGCTTAAAATGTATTTTCTATGATACCTGCAAATCATGTTAGAAAATTGAAGAGAGACCTAATCACTAGGTCGTTCGCAGACTATAGATGTGAAAACCTATGTCAGAATCTCATCACCTTCCTCTCTGGAAAATAAAACTCTAGTTTAAAAGTAATATGAGAAAAAATCATGTTAAAAAATTGAAGAGAGACCTAATCACTATATTCTTCGCAGACTGTAGATGTGAAATCCTATGTCACAATCTCATCACCTTCCTGTCTGGAAAATAAAACTCTAGTTTAAAAGTAATATGAGAAAAAATCATGTTAAAAAATTGAAGAGAGACCTAATCACCATATTCTTCGCAGACTATAGATGTGAAATCCTATGTCACAATCTCATCACCTTCCTCTCTGGAAAATAAAACTCTAGTTTAAAAGTAATCTGAAAATAAATACAGCATGCGCTTTTCAGTGATAAGGATTATCTTCAACTCTCTCGTTCTAGAATTGCATCATATTCCAGCTCCTGTCAAGAATCTGTGACAAAAACACTTCTAGCCATTCAGCCATGCACTGAGCGCATCCATGAACCAAAGCTCTTCCAGAAACAGAATATTCTCTCCTCTTTGACGTTGTTGGTCCGTGTCATTTCCATAAGCATCGGTTTGCGGAATTCTTCGGCAAGCTAGAAAAGGTACATGGATCGCATTGACTTCTGTTGCTGATGAGTCATTTTTTTAAATACTGTATTCTCTACTTTCTTGTGCAATCAAACATTCATCATTATCTATCCGCGTAGCAACTTGGAACCGATGATATCTGGTTCAAATGTTCTAGGCAAAAACTTGATTTCGTAATCTCCTAGCGAAGTAGAATCAACCGCCACGATTTCAGAAGTATCAATGGCATCCTCACCAAAAGAAAAACTTGATTCAAGTTATCAACCAAATATCTGAATCTCGCGTTACCAACATAAAGTTAAAGATCAGCTATACTCTTCATGAAGTGAAGACACAGCATATTTCAAAAGGTGATGTGTGATAGGAAGGGTCCAGCCAGTGCTGATTGTAAATCTCTAAGAACCTTCTCTTGACCTCATGATCAAATCAACATGTTGATGTTATCGATATCTCTCTTTAATTGAAAACGTTTTAAAAATTTCCTGGTTTTCATATAAATGTTGACCTGGCAGAATCTAAAACGTTTTGAAACGAAGAGAAGATCTCGATGACATCAACATAAAGAATCATTTCACATAACTTATCAATCCAAGATGTAAAATATTCTTGTACATTCACCGAAATTGATGATGAAGAACCCATAGACATGCATATGTTGGTAATGTGAGCTTCAGACACTGGGTTGATAACTCTAAATCATTTCTCTAAAGCCTCAAAATTTTGAAACCAAACATCGTCAGTTTCATGTTCACAACTCTTCTGCAACCACGTCCGATTCTAATATTACTGTCCATATTAGTCAACTGCTCCAATAGCTGTTTCAAAACTTCGTCACATCAAACCAAATGTTACTGCAAGTGCTCAATTATCTATTTCTCCTATGTACATCAACTTGATGGAGTTGCCACTTTACCTCTTTCAATAGCCAGAGGAGGTTATTGTTCTTTCCTCCATAAACGCTGGTTCTGCTCCTCTCATCTTACACATCTCCTCGTGAAATCAACTACAATCTGGTTGCCTTTGTCTCCTTCTCCGCCTTTCCATACGCTCCGCAGATTGCTTATTGCTTATCCGTGTACGTCTCGTCTTTCCCCTCCGTTGCCCTACGATTCAAAACCTAATTCCATAATTGATGGATTCCGTCTACAAGTCAACATGATCGGAAAACACTACATTAAGCTCACTCAAAATTCTAGTGCATAAATCATGAGGTTCGCATTAAGATATGTTATCACATGCTGACAAAGAAGTAACTTTTAATGACAACTATATGACTCAATAGGAGCTTTTTTCCTAAGTACAATATGTTATTATATATCGTGTTAAACTTAAAAACGGCAATCCATTAAGATTGGTGATTCTAAGGGCTGAAATTTATCCCCAAGTTTTGTATGTTACAAAAAGTAATAACGCCTGAAAAGTTACAAAGAGAGTAGTGCATTTTAAATATCAAATCTATTCGGCTAAAACTTACACAAGAAATCTAAATTCTTCGTATCTAATTGCGCCATTGTAACGTGTATATAATTGTCGACTGCTCGTCACAAGAAATTCACTCATATCCGTTAAAATTGGCTTAGCACAATCAAATTTCTTCCTAAGAAGAAGCGATTTGCTTTCAAGATATGGATGGTACTACTCTCAAGCTAGAAAGTAACTATGGATTCGACGAAAAATGATATATTGGCATCTAAAGGCTGAAGACGAGAAAACTACATAATGAAACAAACACCAAAAATTTCATGTGTCATTGGAATAAGTACTGTACATGACATGTAGCTGAAGGCTATAGGTGAAATACAAGAAAAGCTGAAGATTTGGAGAATGGAAATTTTGACTACAAAACGGAAGTAAGTAAAGATGATTTAATCTTTCCTAGAAACGGTGTCTAGATTATAGCAATCCAATAAAGCATGGGCATCGAAAGTTACTGCAAACATACATATATCAAATTGGAAGCGCTTTCCCACTAACTTTCAGATAATGACATCATCAAAGACAGAAGCTATCTAGAAAGAGTCTTTTTAGCTACATCATTACCAACAACTTCATGTTGCGGATCCTTGAACAAAAAAGTATAAGATTACCTTAAGTAAGAAGTTTAGGGAAAAACATAATAACTTAATTTTGAAGATCATCTTGAAGATCACAATCTTGATGATCTTGCACTAAGGACTATTATAAGCAGACTATCAAAGACATTTAGCATAAGAGTGTAGAGTGATTAGCAGTATCATTTGGCAAATCCTACAAAGTCATGGTTAATGCAATATTGTCTGCAATATTCCTTCCAATCAAAGTTGGAGTTAAGCGTCCTACTTGCTTTGAACACCGAACATAGATCTTTACCAACAATAATACGTTTTTTCGTAATGATGTAAAATCAGAACTCGCTACAAAGTCATGGTCAAGTCAATATGGTATGCAGTATTGACTTACAACTTCCAAATCAGAATGTATCCTTTGATAACTGAATATAAATTTTGACTATCATCGACTATAAGAGTATAGGTGAGTATTGTGGTAGTGCAGTTTTTTCAATTTTTTAAAAATAAGGTTGTTAAAAAGGAAAATCCAGGTAAGTTTTAACTTTTGAGATAGTAGTAGTTAGAAGAGAAGAAAATAATAACTTTTAGTTAGATGCTAAGTAGAAGTAGGAAATACGAAGGATCATACTAGGTAGAGCTTGTCCTATTGGTTCCGATGAGGTCTAGAACCAAAGGACCAGACCAGTATAACCTGAGCTACAAGAGGAAGGGAAGAAGACCCAGGTTCTCTCAAGACCTAGATAAGCCTTCAGTAGAGGTTATTCGACCCTCGGCGTTGATGACTTCAGAGTTACCTACGAAGTACTACTGACGACTAAACCCCGGTGAAGTAAAAGATGGCGCCGCACTGAAAATAAATTTGAATGGCGTCACTTGCAATTCGCACGAGTTGAGTTTGCCATTGTGGTGGCGGATTACAGCGCGAGAGCGCGAGTTCGGTCTCCACATTTCATGCTCACACTATTGCGAATTGACAAGAGATTGTGGTGCAAAAGATCAAACCGACGGGAGAAGCTATGGGGTGAACGAGCGCCATTCGATTGACCGCACTGAGAGTTCCGGAGGTGGGACTGCGAGCGTATTATGACGAATTGATTCTCGCAAAACTCGACTTCTTGCTCTGGGGATAAAATTGGGTATGTTCATCAATGGTACTGTACTGGAACAACGGTGGCGCTCCGAAGCCACCGGACTATCGAGAAAATCCTAAGACTTGGCAAATTTGGGATTGGATGAAAGTATTGGAGAGTTGCGCAAGAGATGATGGCGATCTTACCTTCAACAGTGAAAGTGTCAAGGTAACGCGATATGAAGAGAAGTCATATGTAGCCTTATTCAAGAATCCGCACATTGGAATAAATCGGTATCGAACCATAGGATATCACAATCGTTTCAGGAGGAATG